TGACCCAGTCTGTCTCCATCAGTCTGCCACCATAGGAGTCTTCAGTTTGTACTGCAGCTGCCTCTCTAATACCGACTCATATCAATGTCCAGTCATGGAGTACATTCCATCCCAACCATCACAACACAACTCAGTAATGATACCGCGGCTACTGTCCAGCAGGTGCCTATGTACCGGGCAGGATGCTGGAATCTTATTCAGGTGGTTATTTAGAGGGATCATCAGACAGGGTAGTGATCCAGGCTTTAACATGGTCATGTTGAACCCATATTCCAATTCACTAAAGCGAGGTCAAAATACCAGATAACACCTGGTGAGAATAAACCTGTTCAGAATGTCAGTTAGTGACCCAGGTCTACAGTAATGCACAGGCTAACCTCAATTGTTCATCAACCAAACTGAATGACTTCAAAACCCCAAACCTCAAAGTAGAATGACTGGAGGGGACGTCTCCAATAAATAAGTCAGCAAATTTTGTCATGTGACATTCTGGGGATTCCCTTGTTGAAAAGATATCAAAAGATTTGCAAGTCATCAGACTCCTGACATGTTTTGTTTGCACAAGGCCACTGAGAATCTAGTAAAGTTTGTACATACTACCACCTGCTACTACTGATATTATGAAACACTTGTGGTCTATAATTGAATATTTGTTGACTGACTCGGTTCTATTCATCAAGCCATTGCACAAGTCAACAACTCCAACAGGTCTCGGAATTGTCTCCAGGTGGACCAATTTAGAGTGAGGAGCACATGATCCCCGGGGGCCAATCAGAGGTCTCAGTTTGCAGAGTGCATTGCATAAGCATGTTTGGCCTGGCCAAGCCCCCCCCCCCCCCCCATCCTGGTCCCTTCCATCACCCCCAACTCCACCCTGGAATGCCAAGCTGCCTCACCCCGCTGCACACTATATAATTGACACACTTTTGCAGTTCCAAAGTTAAATCCCAGCGAATGCAACAGATTTTTCACCACACAACTTTTTGATTTGCCAGCTTATATGGTTTGATCACTAAAAAAACAGTTGTCATTCAAATTTGACATGACTACCAGGCTAAGATTTCATGTTTGATTGATAGATAAACATGCAAATGTACCTTTCATTTAAAGTTGGTAAGAGATAGATAGCTTTACAGCTTTATATATAGTCAACAGTTGAACACAAACCAGAACATATTTTGAGTAAGGATCCCATGACACAAGCCATATGACCCTAAGCTGCACCAACACCTGACCCCTAGACCACCCAACTAATGGTTCCTCTGGGGAAAATAAAAAGTTCCACACCATGCAGAGACCTTACCAGTGGACCACCGTGCAGCTACTAGTCCAATGGGTGATGACTGTACTGTGTGAGACAGGCAGGGACAGACAAACGGCTCTCTCTGCTCCACTCCCTGGCACACTCTCTTCCTTGCTCACCAAGGGGGCGCAGAGGGTCCTTCTCTGAGCACCACTCAACTGTCATCTACAGAGGGGGTGGGATCCAGACAGGACGGTGGGGTAGGTGGGTGGTGGTGGGGGGTGTCAGGGGGAGTGTTAGGTGGGAGGAGGCGGCCATGGCAGTGGCTGGGACTGAGTCTCCAGCTCCACTGTAGCAGTGTCTGACTGAGCCTGAGGAGGGAGTGGGTTGAGGAAGTGAGCTAGGGCCCGTTTCAGGTTACATCCCTTCCATCTGACACAGCTGACTCCACAGTTAACCAGAGAACTAAACACTCTGACCCGCAAATATAGACCAGCCCCTAGCCATCACGCTGCCCAAACATTGTGACTGCTCCAGCAGTGCTTCAGCAGATACGGGAATACTGTAAGCATGTGGAAATGAAATGGAAGTCTTGAATCACCATGAGCAGGTGGAATGCATCATATGGAAGAAATAGCTAAATAAATCCTGCTCTTGTGTGGAAGTCCCTACTACTATGGTGCCAGTCAGACTTGGTTCCGGGTGAAGATGGAACCCGAGCTTCCTGTTTCAGCTCCCAGCTCGATCACTGATTGGCACAGGTGTTGTGTGACATGAATAACTTGGGAGCGTTAAAAAGGTTGGTGCACTGAAACAACCTCTTCCGTACTCCAGGTGCTGTTCTTAAAGTATAACCATAAGAATTACATAGTCCTGCCTGCAAATGTATAGCTTTGGTAAGTTGATATTGTTCCAATGTTATTCAAATAACCACTGAACGACAAAATAATTGTCTACAACATATTTTATTGTTCAACATTATTTTTTATATAATAACACCTCAATTAGTGTTACTAATTAATTTCACGGGTTGAGTATACAGTACATGCTGTAAAATGATAAGAAAGTTCCAGTGCAAAAATAAAGCAAAAGTAAGACAAAAAAAGGACAAAATAAAATAAAATTTATATTTCAATACAATTTCAAAAACAAAATGGAAAAAGGACAGGTAAGGAAACAATATATTTTGTGGATATTTATCAATATAATGTGGTCAACTTTATCATTAAGTTTTTAACACTATATATATATTTTGTAGGGGAAATATGGATCAAGACTGACTGGTCTACCAGTCTATTAAATACAATCTCATATAACTGTCACCTACACTCAACATCAAAAACCTTTCCGAATTCTTTCGCCATCTTACTCAAATTCCCGAGAACAAAAACTCAATTTGCTCTGCATCATCTAAAGCAGAGAGGAATCTTCACAGCTACACGACGCACACCTGACACAAACCACCATCAACTTCCTCAGTCCTTCCTACAGTACACATCTCTCAAGCAAACTCATGATCTCACACAAGAGCACTTCCTGAGATATGGGGGTGGACAGGAGGAGAAATGAACCAGAGAGTGCAATGACTCACAATCCTCAACTGCAATATAACTGTCTGTTGATAAACTATTATTTAACTCAGTAACATGTCTGATATCACACATTTTGCTTATAATCCCCCTTTTTTATAGAAATAATTACCAACTGTTTACAAATGGACAATATAGTGACTCACTATCACAAGTTCTACTTAGGCATATGTTTTGGGGGAAAAACTTGTTCAAACGTAAGTTCATGATAAAACGTTGAAATTGTTTAAATCTACCCATTCAAATTCTTATTCGAAATTTGACAAATTATAATTTCTGCCAAATGAGTGAGATATTAACTGATTGCTCTGTTACTATTTTCAAAAATACTTAATTAAAACCGATTTATTAAAAACATTTATTAAAAACTCAATTTGATTGATTCCTAACCACTTTGCCTTGACTACAAATCTCAGTCAGAATGTAAGTTAAAAAATTCTGTGAATTAGACCAATGACAATGAAAGCATTAGTTCATGGAAACTTAATAATAATCATAGGGTAAATATACGTTAAAATAATTGCTATGTGAAACTGAGTACCTTACTGGCTATTCCTTCTAACCTAAATATATTGTCAGTTGAATACACCTCATGAGTGAATGCTCACATAAAAATATGAGATGCTTTTTGATAACAATAAAATAACAACATCATATCAAACTGTCCCTTGAAAAAGTTCATTTTCAGTTGAAAATATGCGTACAGAACCAGCTGCAGTATTTCTATCATGAACATAAAGTAACTATAATAGTCCAAACTGGATTTGTAATGAAAACGTTGAGCTCCATTTGGTGGCAAAACATTCATCATAAAAAGGAAAGGAAAAGCAAAAAAGCAAAACAAAATAAAACTGGATAAAAATACAATTGATTTGAGTTTACATTTCACATTTGTGGTACAGATCAATTATTTCAATGTCCTTTAACAAACATTTTTTTTACAAAAGAGTACATGTTTGATCATTTAAAGAGTTAAAAGCCTATTGCTGTTATAACATCATTTTTAGATCATGACATATCAAATAGAAGATTTAGCTTGATCTAAATCAGATGCAATCTCTGTTTAATGTAATGCTGTTTAATGTTGAAAATAAAGGACTTCAAAAGGACTTCAAATGTATTACACGGTGACAATAAAGCATTTTACATTGAACATTTACAAAAGTGGTCATAGTGCAAAGGGCTAGATCATTTGCAAATCCATTAACCTGTACATAGAGATGACCAGTGGATATAAAATATCTATAAAACAGTGCAAATAATATGTACATCCACTTACGTACAAAAATACCTATATAGCACGAGGTCAACATAATGATCCTTTTCTTCCTCCTCATAAAAATGACTTTATGCAAAACATGATCTGTTTTATATCAAGAGATGCAACAGGGTATTTAATGCCTATTTGGTTATCTAAATTACGACTAGAAAGTGGAGACCGTAAAACTCAGAATACACCATTGGAATTGCAGGGGCCATAAAATGACTTAATAGTGAGAAATAAGGACAAGCAATTTGCAGTATCAGTGTCTACATGTAAAAACGATTGCTAGCCCACTAATCTCTGTAGTCTTTTTAATGCACACTTCATTATTAAGGGACTTATGTTTTGTCACTCCATTTGGAGTAAGAACATTTGATTTTAATTTGTGCAACTTTAAAAGCACATAATACTTGCAAATAATACTGGATGGTAAATATATCAGGATTTAACACCAACAATGGCACTTGCTAATAATACAATGACGAATATAGCAACAATCACTTAATAAAAACCGTTTTGATGCATTTTTGATATAAACAAAGAAGCAATTGTGCTTTTTAGTCCATGTGATATTGAGATCAATATGAATTCAAATGTAGGTTGCCGATGTATTTCAAAACATAACCAAGAAGCCCTGTGCATGGCTATTAAGGACCAAAACTCACTTCTTAAGTACTATAGCCAGAGACCTGAAATCATCAGCCTAAAACCAATGTGTTGTCCTTAGCCACAAAAATAATAAATTAATGCTGATTGCTAATGGTGTATCCTCATATGCATGGAGGTTTGTAGCTGTATTACTAACGTGTAAATTCAGTTATTAAGAGGACTGTATCTGAGCATAATTCATGTTGTTTCTGAGATGATCCCTGTATGAATGTTTGTTGTCTTCAGGCCCCAGAGCTCACCAGTTGAACAGGGAGTTTTGGCCCAGTGTCATGAAGTAGATCTGGCTGCTGCCACCAGACTGCACTGAGGCAAAGAACACCTTCACACAGAAGATAGGTGAATCAGTTAAACATTTACAACTTACCAGTATAATATTCAACACCTACAATACTATGAACAACATACAGTAGGCTAGGACACATTTTCTGCATCTACCCAAGCCCTATGTGATATGGGAGGAATAGGGTGTCATGTGAGCTTTGCCCAAGGTGTGTTTTGGTGATATTGGGATGTTGTCTTACCTTGTCATTCCTCTCACACAGGAATTTGAGTTTCTGGGCCTTCTTGTGCATGAAGACTCCTTCAAGGTTGCCTGTGTTAGCTGACCTCAGCTCGATGGCTTTGTCTCCCCAGCCCATCACCTGGTTGGACTGCAGGTAGGCTGTGGAGATACACACATACACCAGCGACTTAGATTGAGGTCCAAATGCCACCTTATTCCCTATACTACTTTTGACCAGGAGCCATAGTTGTCTTGTCAAAGGTAGTGCACTATATAGGGAATAAGGTGTCATTGGGATGCAGCCTTAGTCACTAGAGTACACACTCAGGCTTTTAGACTCTCCAAGGCTTTCTGCCTCTCTCAGTGAGTGCCATGTTGTAAACCAATCCTGAGATGCATCTAGAGATGAAAATCAATAGGTTCCCTTTTACCACACTCTCCTCTTTAGAGCCTACACCCAGAGTTTATTTACACTCTATATACTGAGGTCCAGACTGGGCTGAGCGCTGTCCTGTCTGTGAGTCTGTTCCCCACAGACACCCCTTCCCCTTGAATAATGACCTGGCCAAGGGACCCAACTAAATGAGTCTAACAGAACATCTTATTTTTAGAGCCACTGTCCCAAATCTGTCTAGAGGGGTTGGATCCAGCTTAACTCCTCTTTGAATCCAGTGATCCAAGCACAATAAATAAGGTTTATTTCTTGGCTGCTGCATATCAAAAAGGGCCAACACAAGAGACATGTTCAATTTTTAAAACGTTGTGGGTCTGCAGGTCTATCAAATATATCCATTTTAATATAGAATTAATTATAAGCGCTAGTTTTTCAATCCGAGTGGAGGTGGAATCTCTCTCTTTATCTCTCTCCCCCGTCTTTCAAGAGATACGGAAAAAAGCATGCGCACACACGTACGCACACACAGCCTTCAGATTTGGTGGGTGGGTACGATGTACAGAAACTCACCGACAGATGCAGGCATCTCTCCCCACTGCAGCACGGTTTCCTTGGTGATGCGTCCGTAGGTGTCTATGTAGACCCCCTCGTCTTCATAACACACCAGAACCTCCATGCCACTGCTGTTAGGTAGGATGATGATGGCATGGGGCCGGATCACACCCTGAATCTAAGACAGACAAACACACACAGTCAGATGAGATGAGATGATGATAAGATGGGTTACGTCTCAAATGGCATGGTATCCCCTATATAGTGAACTAGTTTTGACCAGAGCCCTATGGGTCTGACAGGCGCCATTTAAGACACATCCATTATGTTTAATATAGTGTCGCTCTCAAGTATAGTGTGATATGGTATTATTCTGTCTGCAAACTACATTTCCCTGTTGGAAAATAACAATTGACTTGACTTTATTTGACGACAACGGGAAGTGCAGCACAGCACAGCACAGCACAGCACAGCACTCTCAATCCAAACCTCATCATCTCTACCAGCAACAGCAGTACTCACCCAGCTACATCCACATCACCAGGGGTAATCCTCCCAATACACCAATACAACTAATAGGCGGTATCCAGATTTTCATACCGTCATACTATTTCTGTACCATACCGGGTATTACCAGAAGTGCACACAACGGGTCCAGGAGGGGATTAATTGTCTTTGCTGTAACCAAGTAGCTTGATCTTGCCATCTAGCCACTGAGCTAGCAAGTTAGCAAACCAAACGCATTCTGGAGTCCTGAGCTGGATATCATTTATTAGGCACATCTTGGATAGCACACACCCCTGCAGCCCCTGGTATTGAAATTAAATCGTCGGTATGTCTAAATACCCCAGTATACATTATATTCGGTATATCGCCTAAGCCTACCAGATAACATTGACTAATAAAACAAAGTATCATTGCTCCCTCACACTCCCACTCTCCCTCCCTGGAACCATCTGGAATAATTATGTTTGATGTGAGGCTGGTTCAGAGTCAGTAAACTGAGGCTAAACAACATGTTGAATCAGCCGAGTCACTGACTACAGGTGGCAACAGAGAGAGGGTGACAACGCTTAATCGATTCTGTCTCAGCTAATTAATTGCCATACAATGTCTTCACTTAATTTCTCTAATTACAAACTCATTTGCCAAAGATGCTCAGTGATCAGCTCTTTCTCTCCTGGCATCGGGATGCAACTCAGGTACCCAAATTAGTGTTGTTGCTATGGCTGGGTGAGCTCCACTGAGATGTGATGCAGAGCTATTCATGGGTTGCATGTTTCGTCACAATATTGTTTTGAACATTCGTTTTGGACTGATGCCTGATGCTACTCAATGCATCGTCAATGAGCGCTGATGAAGATTTCATCAAAAGTGAATTAAAGTGGCTTGAAAATACAATGACATTCAAAAGGAGGCAAATAATTTGTAGGAAAACCTTTTGTCCTCATTTTGATGTCACCATATTGACTTTAAATGCAGTATAATGTTAGCTAGCTAGCTAAGATTGAGGGGAGGCCACTGGATTTTAGCTAGCTAACATTAGCATTGCTAGCTATTTTTGACTAACTTTGCTATCTAATGACAACATTGCCATCTGTTTAAAGTAGATTTGACGACATGATAATGCTGGCAAAGTTGTTTCCTACAGAATATTTGACTACTTTAGCAATGTCATCGTATTTCCTGGCAATATAGTGTAATTTAGACTAAACAGTAGTTAGCCATCGTCCAGAATGACTGGGCTTAACACCACTTTAGGGCACCACTATGGCGCCGCTGATAGAGGGCGGCTTGAGAACGTTCATAACAATGGCATGACGCGATCGAGTGACGGAGGTGCAACCTATGAATATAACCACTGAACAGCATCTTGGGTTGAATAAGTGGCAGCGAGGTGGAGGAGGGAGCCACTTCTGACCCCCTCAGGTCCCTCATAAGCGCTTGCATAATAGCCAACATTCAAACAATGAGACTGTCTTTAAGTCTCTGTTATCTGTTTGAGGATGCAACATTCACACATTCACATACACAACATTTCTAAGACCACAAGAGATCCACAATAACCCAAAAAGACCCCTTCGCATAAGAAGATTATAACAAAGTAGTAGCTTAAACAGCAGGTATAACCTCAAACCCCAAATCCCCAAACAAACCAACACCTCAAACAACCCCAAAAGCTCTATGTACAGCAAGTCACAGTCACCACAGGACCAGTGTAAGTCACCACAGGACCAGTGTAAGTCACCACAGGACCAGTGTAAGTTACCACAGGACCAGTGTAAGTTACCACAGGACCAGTGTTAGTCACCACAGGATCCCCATACTTGCCCGGCCAAGAGCCTGTCCCCCCAGCTGCCCCCCGCTGTCCTCGTGCTGCTGTGGCTGTGCCACCACAATCCTCAGCATCAACACTGGCATCCACAGACGCAGTGCTATCTTAATCCGCTGCCTCGGTATCCTTATCATCTCATCATCAACAGCAGCCAGCAGGGAGAATGTACGTGGGACAAAAGTTGTGTGTGTGTGAAGGAAAGAATGAGCGGACCAGTGAGTGTCAGTGAGAGTGAGTGAATATGAGAGTGAATGTGAGAGCGAGTGATCGGGTAAAAGAGAAGGACTCTTCTCTTCCACTGCAGTGTAAGAGACTAAGGCACCAGTGTTATGGAGTGCGTGGTAGTGCTCTCTAAATATGTCAGTGTTATCAGAAAAAATTGCAGAATAACAGGTCACTTTAGCAGGCACATGGTTTGCCGGCGCTGCCAAGGTATTTTTAGAGCTATCTATCTGGTGAAAAGTAGCACACATGGCTGGAGACTGGGGCCAAAGAGAAGCAGCCAATGATAGCTATGTGGGCCAGCAGTGGGAGAAGTGGGATAGAGCCACAGCACTGGGAGGTGGTACAGTGTGTGTGTGTGTGTGTGTGTGTGTGTGTGTGTGTGTGTGCGTGAGTGTGTAATATAGCTCATTTCCTTCGGAGAATGTTTTTCCTCTGCTCTGGCTCTCAGCTCCCAGCAGCTCTCTGCAGCATTGTGTGGGTGTGTGGGATTCTCATCAGTAGGAGTAGAGGCTGCCTCGGCGCCCCTGTCCACAGTGACTAAGAGTGCAACAATCTGCACCTCTGCACCATTCCGCCCTGCTACACCTTGAGCCTCATAGAGGGGTTAGAGGTTCTAACTAACACAATATCCATCACTTGGTTCAGCTGGCTACTCAGTCATTCTCAGCCTCATTCACTTCCTGGTAGTCAGCCAAACACAGCTACCACTGAGATGAACTGATAACTGATCAAGTCTGACTTCCCTGTATCTTCAGGCAACTGTTGTGACCGAGGTAGATTACTGGACTGATGCTTTAGTTATTTTTCAGTAAATCTGTTTGCTCCCGAGAGGAAAAGCTCCCTAAATGCACTGTATCTCCTTTGCTCTGAGGTAAGTGATGTTTGAGCTTATACTGTGACAGAGCAGAATTTCTACGAGGGGCTTTTCGAGAAATCCATTTACATTTGACATTTTAGTCATTTAGCAGATGCTCCTATCCAGAGCGACTTTCAGTTAATGGCCCAACGCTCTTAACCACTAGGCTACATGCCGCTCCAAAGACAAGTGCCACAAGGTCAGATGCTGACAGTAGCAGGCCTGGCTTAAACACAAACCCATCCAGTCGATATTATACTATATCAACCGCAATTAGTCAACTGGCTGTGGTGGCAAACAGCTTCTACCCACGTCAAATCTGAGTCAGAACAAAAGATCACGCTGAGTGGCGTGGGTGCAGAGGAGAGGCGCTGCTTAGCCGCTAGAGAACAGAGACACAGAAACTGGAGGATGGAGGTCTGGCAGAGACCCAGAGATCCAGGCTGCATGGCCCTGAGGGGGAGAGAGAAGGCTGGGGTAGGGAGAGGGTGGAGGGGGTGTGGGAGAGTTTAGAGGAGGCTGGGGTTGAGGTTGAGTGGGGGGTGGAGGACTCACGTGTGTTGGCAAGTAGAGGTCGTAGGGTGTCCCCGAGTCCACGTCGATGGCGTGGAAGCCCGACAGGGAGCCGTAGATGACCTTGAGTCTCTGTCCATCCTCCACCGTCAGGTCCACAGACAGAGGCCTCTGGGGGAGCGAGCCGAACGACTGGATACACACAACAAGGACAGACATTAGGAATGACTTCGGAAGAGTATACAGTATAACTATATATATAGTATACAGCAGGGTTCTTCAATTCCGGTCCTGGAGGGCCGAAACACCTCTGTTTTTCATCCTCTCCTTCTAATCAGGAGCTAATTCAGACCTGGGACACCAGGTGAGTGCAATTAACTACCAGGTAGAAATAAAAAACAGAAGTGTTTCGGCCCTCCAGGACCGGAATTGAAGAACCCTGGTATACAGTATAACTGGGACCAATAGTTTTTCCTGGTCAAGACACACACTGAGTGTACAAAACATTAGGAACTTTTGCCCTCAGAACAGCCTCAATTCATCGGGGCATGGACTCTACAAGGTGTCGAAAGCGTACCACAGGGATGCTGGCCCATGTTGACTCCAATGCTTCCCACAGTTGTGTCAAGTTGGCTGGATGTCCTTAGGGTGGTGGACCATTCTTGATACAAACGGGAAACTGTTGCGCATGAAAAACCCAGCGTTGCAATTCTTGACACAATCAAACCGGTGCGCCTGGCACCATGTCTCCTACCCTTCATCTACACTGATTGAAGTGGATTTAACAAGTGACATCAATATGGGATCATAGCTTTCACATGGATTAACCTGGTCAGTCTGTGTCATCGAAAGAGCAGGTGTTCCTAATGTTTTGTACACTCAGGAGCTAACACTAGGAGCTAACCCATGACACTAGGAGCTAACACATAGTGACCACCCAGGTTAGTCTAGTTCATATCTTTCATGGTTTTTGTGGAGTGAGTAGAAATAATTCAAACAGATCATTCCAGAAAGATGTGTAAGAAGTAGGGCAAGCCACTGAAGAGAGTTCAGAACTAGGACAGTGTTTTCAAGGTGACCTTAATAGCATTTCATATTCTCTTTGTCTATCATTAGAGCGTTCTAGATTCACAACGAAAGTAGCCCGGTCCCAGATCCGTTTGTGCTTATTCCTACTCCAAGCCAAACATTGTCATGACAATTCCATAAGGAGTGGCACCCAGGCAACCAGGATACAATGAAAGGACATCGCCATAGAGAATATCAGAAGACAAGTGGAAGTTTGTGTTGACATTTTAAATTTTTAAATTTTAGTAAGGGGAGGCTGGTTCCACCATTGGGGTACCAGGACAGAGAAGAGCTCGGACTGGGCTGAGCGGGAGCTGCCCTCCCGTAGGGGTGGGAAGGCCAAGAGACCTGAGGTGGCAGAACGGAGTGCTCGGGTTGGGGTGTAGGGTTTGAGCATAGCAAGTTCCTCTTGCTGTTCCGTAGGTAAGCACCATGGTCTTGTAGTGGAAAGTAGTCTTGTAGTGATGCACCATTAATAATATAATATCTGACCACTCTCTTCATGTGGATGTGTTAATTTTCCTCCATACATATTTGATGTGACTCTCACCTTGAAAGCCATGAACTTGTGGTAAGGCTTGGGGGCCCATGCATACACCTCCACAGCATTCTTCAAGGCAATCACCAGGAACTTAATCTTCTCATATCGAACTGAAATTGCATGTAACGAAAAAGCAGAGATTTCAATTAGGATTAGGGATTTCTCTCATAATGGAAACAGAACAAGATAAACTACATCAGTCTGTAATACTTACGTGTCAGTGGTCTTGAACTAATTATCACTAAACAATCTCAACAAAGAGGTTTTTGGTTGTGCCCCAAATTACGCCCTATTCCTTATTTAGTGCATTACTTTTGACCAGGGCCGATATAAGGAATATGGTGCCATTTAGGATGGAACCCTTGTGTAAACTACGTTTTGAAAGGCAGGAAGACAATTTGCCTTTCAATGAGACAATAGCAGCATGCCTCTGATTATGAGAAACAATACTGAGGGGAGTGTTGGGAAGGACAGTGTGTGCCTCACTATGACATCACATCCTTCCTTGGTTGGAGTCCCTGAGCTGTCCTCACTCTGTCAACACTCTTACTAACCTCAGGAAGAGTCACAGAAAATAGAGGCTCACATCTCCTGAGCTCAGCACTACACACAATCACTCCCTCACATCCAGTTCACATGCACCCACACTCTCACACACTGACCTATTGTGCTCAAATGGATTCAGATACTCAGAGAATAGATCAAATCATCTTGAAATCAGTTTTTTGCTTGAATTATACTCATTGCTTTCTGTATACCACAACACAAAAACCTTTGATAAGCAGTGATGTGTCTACAGTACGCTCATATAGGCCTGTCATGCAATACAATGTAAGACTGATCCAACACATCAGTCGTGATGCTATCGTTATGATATGGGGGGGAAGGTTAGTGTTAGGACATTGACAAACACACTATCCAGGATACACTTCCACACTCTATCCCCCAGGTAGCAGCAACCGGGTCTAGATTCTGATCCAAGGCTTGATAAGCACATCAGGTTCAGCCAATTAAGGGGATAGTCAGTCAGTGTCCCATCTTGCAAGCCGTGAGCCCGCTGGTTTTGTTTGGTGGCCATGAGGCCTTTCGTTTGTTTTTGAGTCTTTAGTTTTTGCCTTTGGTATTTTTCCTTTTTGTACATATTTATGTTTCGTCAGCATCTGAACAAATGAGAATCCGCTTGGACTGGCTGACCAAGAGGTCAAGAGAGACAGAGCTGGCCCTGGATCAAGGTAAGGTTGCGGTCTCCCTGGGCACATGTACATTCAACACCTAGGTGCATTTGCTGATTTCTCACATAAATGCACACATTCATTCAGGTTACACACCATGTAACTAGGCCTAGGACCCCTAGACAAAGTGAGTGCAACAATATCCGTAAGCTAGTTATTGGTTTCGTTAACACTATCATGATCTAAGGCCAGGTAGTGTATACTCACCGACTTTGTAGTGCACACATCCTTCCAGGTCTCCTACTGAGGTCCAGCCCTGTCTCTTCTCCACCTCTGGGTCGTTCCTTAGGATCTTGTTCCGTAGCCACGACAGGTAGTACAACCTCAGCTTGTTCTTCTTACCTGACAGACAGGGGACAGTGATGGGGTTTAGAGGACGAGAGAATTGGCTGCAAAAGTAGGTGCAAAAAACATTCCAAGACTGACTATTTCTGTGTGTGTGGGTGCGTGTGCCTATCTCTGTGTGTGTATGTTTATCTGTGTGTGTGTGACAGATGTACTGTATATACTGGCTCTACTGTAACTAGTGTAACTACCTGAGATGGTGATGAGCACGTTGAGGCCCTCCAGAACGTCCATCTGTTGGAAGCGTCTCCTGCTGATCAGAGAGTAGACCTTCCCCTGACCGCTCCTGTCCAGCAGCCACAGACCATTCTCTGTCCCCACCAGCAGGTTCACACCTGGACCAACACACCATACCACTGCGTTAGGCCTCAACATCAAAAGCCTCAGCAGCAAACTAGGGATGGGCATTTGAAATGATTTCACTATTTTAAAAAATATAATGACAATTCTTCGGATATCCGGATAGTCGAAATACATGTTTACATTTTAAAATGTATTTAACTTGAATGGAATCTTGTTTGCGCGACTCGAGAGAGAGCCGGTGCACTGCGCTCTGCTTGTTTAAGCAGAATGGTGGGGGAGGGGCGAGAGAGGAGCAGAGGCCGGTGTGTGAGACAGTCTATGTGTGTGGCATGGAGGGAGGGAGAGAGAGTGAGAGAATATAGCCAAACCGACTCATGCTAATTAGACAAACTTGTTGCTGCCATAGGTTATCTATCATACCATCTGGTAGTTCCTATATTGACTGCATCAAATCGTTGTAAATAAGTTAGCTAGCTACAGTAGCCAGCTAGGTTAGCCAGCTAGCTAGCTATAGTGGCAAGGCTAATTGAGGCTATTTTGTTGCGTCCTCGTCTACAACAACTCCATTAATATGAAACAACGTCTACCTGTTGGTTGATCATTGTAGCTTACTCCTTTCATTTAGCTAACTTAATTCCTAAATTTTTATTCCATTTTGCATTGTTTTGACATCTTCCACTTCACTTGCTACACATGGAAATATATTATTTTCTGTATGGATCAGATGAGATGGATGTCATTACCACTAAATAAATTAATATGGCCATTTTTGGTGTGGCATGTCACGGTTCAAAAAAGGTTGGGAACCACTGTAAGGTAGAGCTATTACCATATCTCAGTAATACCTATCCAATCCTGTCAGATCAATGTTATTATAAAGGTGCCTTTCTAGGGGATAAGGGGTTGAGTGTTTATTAACTGTTGCTTACCCCACAGGCCAGCACAGAGGATCTCGGTGTTGAACTTCTTCTTGTACTTGCGGATCTCGGGGGTGTCGCTCTGGGGTCTGATGTTGGTGGGGTTCACGTTAACCACGGAGCCCTTCCTGTGCCCCTCTCTCCTGATTGGCTCCTGATTAGCAGGCGGCTGGCCACTCGCTGGAGGGGAAAAGCACAACCAATACTCTTATTCACAACCATGGGATGTCATTTTGATGTCAGGCATCTGATTCTATGTTAATTTCTGTAAACATGTACAGGAGAAAAAACATATGTGAGAGAATCCCTCCCCTCTGTCCCTTCTTATTTTACAATACACTAATATATAAACATAGATCGAATGAGATTTATGATAAGATAGTCCTTTTTATAGACCAAAGCATGCTGTTTAGAGACCACCCTAGCATGCAGTGATTTACTGCAGTGCTAGAATGTCTATGGGGCATTTCCTACGTAGCATAGTGTGTATGTGTGTGTGTATGTGTGTATTTATACAAAATGTGTGCATATGTATGTGTGTGTGTATGTTTGCACTCACTGGGACTGTAGCCCACTGGGCTCTGAGGGGGAGAGATCTGCAGCAGCCTGGGGTCGATGAAGGGAGTGAAGGAGGAGGAGGAGGACGAGATGCTTTTCCCTGGAGGACTGTTTACAGGCTTCTGCAAATGCATCCAAAATCATAATTCATATAAATTAAACAACATCAACAACAATAAATCAAAGACTTCCAGTAGGCTTGATATCAATCTTGAGATGGAAGGGGGAGTGCAAGTCTAAAACAGCTACTTCATCTCCCCCTAGTGGAGGAAGATAAACTCACATCAAATACAAATTCAGTGATCCAAACCACTGCACTCTATAAAGTATTACTCTTAAAGGCCCATATTCTTAAAGGCCCATTTATCAATATCAAATCATTTCTGGGTAACAATTATGTATATTACTGTAATAGTTTTCCATTAAAATTGACAAAAATTGCTTTTTAGCATGAATAAAATTCACAAGCAAGAATTTTGCTAGGACTGTCTGGGAGTGGTCTTGAGTGGGGAGGGGAAAACATAAAACTAGCTGTTATTGGCAGAGAGGTTTGGAACTCTCTTTGTTATTGGTCTATTAACCAATGTACCGCCTGGTGATGCTACTAGGCAAACCGAAACTCCCGCCCATGCAAACAGGCTGATTAGAACGTCCTATGTAGATTGTATTTTCAACCAGCAACTATCAGGAAATAACACTGATCACATTTTTTCACACTTTTACAGTGTTAGTTTCATCAGCTGTTGTACAAAACACAGGAAAAACAGAATTTTGACTGCACTGGGACTTTAAACATTTTATGACTTCTAGAGAACTCACATCAAAGTGCGGTCCTCGTCCGGTTGGAGACTGGGGGAAGATGACGTCATTCAGACCGTGCTGCTGCAGGGGCTCATGGGCCGGGCTCTTCTGCAGGAGATCAGGGAGAAGGTCATTCTCATTGCATTCTGATCCTACAGCTATGGGCCTGTGTAGCAGCTGGCCACTCTTAAGGCCTGATGCCACGCTGCTCTGCTTAGAGAAGAGACACACCGCAGAACAGCAGCATAATGCCTCGTTACTCCTGCTTGCCTGTCTGTCATGTAACGCTGTATTCACTGTGTCACAACAACACTGTGTGGAGGAACAGGCAGAGGCATCTACACACACACGCCAATGCTAACGCTGTCTTATGGCATGAAGGCATTGTTTAGGTTTTCATGACACTAAGTCTCCAATGAGTGTTTTCTTTAAGTGGGCTAGTTAAACAAGGATATCAGGCCCTGCTTACACCATGCCAAGTGGCATTGCTTTCATCACTGGAGGTGGAGGAGGCTCTGAGGGGCCTGTGTGAGAGCAGCATCAGTGGGCCCTGCTCTGCTCCATGTTTTAGTTAGTATGCAGAAAGTGCCCTCTAGTGTTTGTCATGCAAATGACTCAGACAGGACCGGGGACACGGCTGAGCTCAAGTGGCTATGGCCTGAGTCCCAAATGGCACCCTATTCCCTATATAGTACACTCTGGTCAAAAGTAGTGCACTTTATAGGCCAGGGAGTAGGGTGCCATTTGGGTCAATGAATGCTGCTGCCTGTGTGAGTAAGTAATGAGATTTCACACTGGAAATGTGGCTGGCTGCATCTGCACTGTTACAACAAGTCTGACTATGACCCAATTTCCAAATCAGCAGTTCAGGGAAGCCATGTTAAGCAACCTATTACACTGATTTAATGAAGCTGACTCTGTGGTATGAACCTGAAGACAATGGACACCATCATCTGTTATCTGACTATAATATCCATGGAAAGCATGGACCATCATCCCGTTCGAACCTGAAGTCAATTTTAAGAGTTTGAAACATATTTGTTATGAGTTTTCATCAAGTGCAGAATAAATATCCATTACACTGAGAGAAGCTAAGCTCTCAAAGCTAATAAGTGAGTGTACTTTTACACTCTAAAATGTTCCAGAGGTGGTACTGTATGGATGAGGTTTTGTGTGTATGTATACCGGGGTCTGGTTGAGATTATGATGGGGCTGCAGGACAATCCCATCAGGGGCTCCTCGGAAGAACTTGCCCTTCCCATTACTCAACGGAGACCTGGACAAACACATACAACAGCAGTCAGAGAGAGGAGGCTCATGCAACATTTTATTCAACCTTAATCCGTTTTTTAACATTTTATCAGATGCTCTTATCCAGAGCGATTGACAGGAGCAATTACCGTCAAGTGCCTTGCTCAAGGGCACATACCCAGATTTTTCACCTAGTTGGCTCAGGGATTTGAACCAGCTAGTGAGGTTTTACTGTATACTGCTTGTTTTTGGCTATATAAGTATTTTTAAATTATCAAAATCAATCAATAAATCGATCAATCAATCAATCAATGTGAACCTAGGGCTGTTATGGTGACTTTATTAACGCCACACCGGCAGTCACGAGTCATGACCGCAGTCAAATTCCACGTGACCGTTGAGTAACTAGGCTTCTCCAAAACTGCGCTCTGATGCCGCTGATGGGCAATAGTAGCCTACCAAATGTGCTAATGGCTCTATTGTTTCTATAATCACTCTGACATCAATGCAAATGCAATCAAAAATCAAATCAAACACTTCATGAGAACCCGGGCATTCAGAGTTTGGACATTCTATTAAAAAGAGGATGATCCCATTAGCTTTCTATAGGCTTACTATATTTCTTTTTCAACTTTCCTAATATTAAGCACATTGCTTCGCTTTACAACTGGTGTAGCCTACCTGGCTGGCATGAACCGCAAAAGTGTCCTCCATTCGCTATGTAAGTACATACGGTGGCATGTTTTTTCCCCTGCCCCTGTTCCGACAGGTGCATGATAATGGCCCATTCTAAATCAAAACTCATTTTACACATATATTATTTAGCATATATGTAAAGACCAGATTAAATAGAGAATAGTCTGATGGGTGAGAATATTATAAAGTGCTTGTCAAATTGTGAATGAGAGACTGATGAAGTGTGCGCAGCCTACGCAAGAAACAGAGCAGAGCGCATGCCTTTCATGCAACTTTTTTCAAATCATCATTAGTCGCGTCATGCAGCCTTAGAATGTATTAGAACTCAAAATATATAGCCTAAGGTTTGTATCACAACTTAAGTTGCACAAATAACTCTAAATAAAGCATATAGGAGGACCTGTTTCAAATGATTACTTTGTTAACTGCCCAACACAGAATAGCCGCATGTCTGCGCACTCCCTCAGAAATCGTTTGGGAAAAATATCCTTTCTATTTTATTCAGCTATGTTCAATTGTATTCTTCATACTATAAAATACTATAAATTAATGCCACGGGAATTATAAGCAAATCTTGTCTGCAAATGAACTAGTGTATGGCATAGCCAGATCAGGGCCTAACATAAGGATGACTCAGAATATGCTATTCTGTTCTTCTGAAATAGTCTACATATTCTTCATATCATAATGTTTATTTGGTGTAGGCTATATTAAATTGATTTTTTAGACTTTTTAAAATGTAGATGTTCCAAAGGTCCGCATCAGTGGCTTGTAGGCCATGCGTGGAAGCCTGGAGATGTTAATTAACGGTCAATTAGCGTGAGACCAGCAGTTATGTGCATGACAGTTACCGGCTGACAAAATGTCATAACCGCCACAGGCCTATGTGAACCCACCTGGTTTTCTCCTCATCATCACTACTCCCGACTTCATCACTGGAAGAGGAGTACTCTGTTGCCTTGACAAACGGACTGAGATTGGACTTAAGCCCAGATAACTGGCCGAAACCCTGAGAGAGAAACACAGTGAATAACATACGAGATAGAACACCAGACATCAGGATTCCTGAGACAGACAGACACGGTTATGCAATAATACAGAACTGCTAATGCTAATCGAGTATAGGAATAATTGTCACAAGAAGATGACAAACAGCTGAATGCTATTGAATAAAACACAAGGACACTGTGTGTCCTCTGGAGGGAATCAGAGACAGGACAGGACAGGATCCCCATCTGCTGCCTTGTCCTCTGCTCCCGTCGGAATGACTGGAATCTTAACTGGTGTTACTTCTCGGAATGACATACCTCTGACCTCAAATCAATAGGCCTAGTCATAAGATGCACTATTTGGTCTAGAACGGATAAGCAGGAATGATACACTATTTAGATGAGACTATCTATATAGATGAGTCGATGAGGAGGAATTCCAGCATTCTTTGTTTTGATAAAAGCAAACGCAGATGTGAGACGGTCAGATAGATTCTCCAAATTCAAATCCAGAGGTAATCGGATTCATCAGTCTCTTACATTTTCTTTTTTAAACAGACGGTCACAAACAACAGTAACGAACATCTGACGAACGCCAAGATGAGACCAACACAATGACCTTCAAGCTTGACGTCCAAGTTTTAATGTGTTACAAATGCAGATATTTTCCACAACCACAGGGCAATGGGAGCCAAAAAAGAAAATAACAACTTGTCCCACTGCAACAGTTCTGATAATCCTGGCTGAAAACGACATTATAAATCTAATGTGGGTTAGGGTTAGGGTTAGGGTTAGTAAAGTTAGTTGAGTAAAATAACGGATGTAAAATATGTAGTGTAAAATAGTGTTCTAGATGGGGATAGTGCCAGATGTGGTCCTCTGTGGCTTAGTTGGTAGAACATGTTGCTTGCAATGCTAGGATTGTGGGTTCGATTCCCAATGGACCACAAATATGTTTGCACGCATGACTGTCACTTTGGGAAAAAAGTGTCTACTAAATGGCATATATTATTATATATAGATACTAGGGTTGGGCGATGTCAAGCTTTGTCCTATCTTGATGATATACTCATAAAACATTGTGATATACGATGGTATCGCCCCCTATTGGCCAACCCGAAATGTGTTATTGGAAAAGTTAATTCAAACAAACTTGCATGCTACAACGTGATGAAAGATAATCTTGTTGAAAGCCTGGGCAGAAGCTAAGTGGAGGCAAATATTTTCTAATATTTCGGACGGTGCTTCAGCAAGGCCAGGTCAGGTGTGTGTGCGTGTGTCTGTGTGGGGCGCACACGATGGTGTGACAGTCTATACCGTAATGAGTTAGGTTATAAATCATGGGGCTGGATAGAAGCAAAGTCTTCAGAACTGGGTAATAATGTTATTTGCACCATCCTCCTTTCTTAATACACCTATGGTTTGTTCTCTCTCTCATAAAGCTGTGATTGGTGTATGCCTAGGCCTATAGATTCCGACTTTCATTCTTGTTCTTTTTGAAAGCCGCAACTTTAGGACAACTCCTTCTAAGGCTATTAGAATATTTGGAAATAGGATACTGTTCATAACTTTAACTTATGATAAGCCAAGTAGGAGGATAGGTTATTGGCCATTTTGTTTTCAACCTTACATGCATAGCCGTGGGAAGTAGGGGTGTTGAGGGTGCTGTAGCGCCCCCTGAAAAATGTGAATACAAAAAAATACAACATTTGCAGCACCCCCACCCCCAAACTACATCCTGCGGCCATGCTTGCATGGGGGGATTCTTCCGGCCCGCACAGATAATTTATTTCCTAATAAGCTTAAACTTTATTTTACTATAGGCAATTGATATAGTTTGTTCTCTCTTATTATTAGTCCCCTGGTTACCTTACGTTTTTAGGCTATTCAAATACATTTTGGAGATGGAAGTCCATTAGATTCATTCATTGTTTGATCGGGAGAAAGCCATGCATGCATAAAACAATGAAAGCGTAGTCTTGCCCAAAGTAGTATTCATATCGTATGGAGAGAGAAGGGAATATAGCCTACATTTTTTTAAACAGCTAGACATAAGATAGTTAAGGAGTGTCCGTTATTTAAAAAAAATGGTTTAGGCTATAAGGCCCATGCATCCGACATGAGAGAGAGACACAATATGGTTGGAAATCTCTCTCCGCTCTGTCTAGCCTACTTTCCTCTCTTGCGTTCTGTATTACATTTACATTTTAGTCATTTAGCAGACGCTCTTATCCAGAGCGACTTACAGGAGCAATTGGGGTTAAGTGCCTTGCTCAAGGGCACATCGACAGATTTTTCACCTAGTCGGCTCAGGGATTAGAACCAGCGACCTTTTGGTTACTGGCACAACGCTCTTAACCACTAAGCTACCTGCCGCTACATTGCTAGAGCAAATAGGAATAGGCAAATTACTCAGAATGTCACTCGTGTGCTGCCCTACTGTGCGCTGTCCGACTACGTTCTTTCCTGCACGGTGCCATGCAAGTTCAAATAGGCTAAACCATCGACGACGGCTGTCAATCATTGTCGATAGACGATGCTTCCGTAATATAGCCCAACCCTAATAGATATTATACATACATGTTGCTGCAGCAGGGCTCCTGGAGAAGTCTCCTGAGATTTCTTGTACTGTTGAAGACGGCTCTGCAGCATCGGGCTCTCCAGCTTGAAGTAACCTGAAAGAGTCAAAGGAAAATCTCTATCTCACATTTCATTATGTTGTCCACTCTCTTTAAATATTACCAGAGCCATACAGATCCTCTAGATAGCTTTGGTGTCTCATTATGTGATCTTTCCTCAAACTATGTATGCTCAGTATGCTCTGCTAGTATGATGAACAAGTCTAGATAAGGACTAAGGCATGATGATACATTGTATGGTATTCCTTGTTTTTCCTCTGGCTTACTGCCTGAATGCTACAATGTAAAGCCCTTGTAAAGGACTTGGAAAAGCACTATAAAAATGTATCATTACTACTACTCTATTTGAGCTATTGCTCCCTCTTCATGTACAGTATATGATTCCTTTGTCATTTAAACAAACACGTTAGCACATTTATTTACCATATTGTGTGGGAGGCTCCTGAACTGCTTTCTTAAAACTGACGATGACTGGTGAAAAAGGGGATCTATGAACATATTACCCAGTCTTTCTTTCTTTCTTTCTTTCTTTCGCCATCCAAAAGGCTTTTATTTTGAGAGTCTGTCTACCCATTAATTGTTAGTAGTTAATTAATTGGTTTTCCCCACACCCATTCTACCACAGGCCCTGTTGCTCACCCACACACCCCAAAACACACTGCGCTACTCAACAAACAGAGCACAGGCCAATGCTACCACTACTACAGACAATGTTAGAAGCCTTTTAGGTCTTTCCTAAAGACAAAAAAACGAGGTCAAACTTTAAACTATTTTTCTGTTCCAAAGCCAAACAGTAAGCCAGTGGCCCGGTGCACGGTTCAGAGTTTCACTTTCAACCACTTTCAACTCATGGGGGGGGAACAACTCTGACAGGATGTTAAGTTCCAGTGAGATATTTCCTGTGTATTGTGGTTATAGTCTGATTTGGAAACACCCAATGCTTTCACACAGGCTGTAGCTCACCTTGTAGTAACACTATGCAGCTGATGGATCTACTATGAATTGATGTGTTGAAAGAAAGAAACCCATCTCTAGTGAGTGGTTTAAGGGGAGAGAGAGAGAGAGAAAGAGTGAGAGGTGAAGTGAGTGAGTAATTGTGGAGGACACAAGGACACAGACCTGACTGGGAGCTGCTGCAGGAGCTGCCGTGAGATGACATGGACTTCCCACCCATCTCCACAGGAGACTGATGGCCCCCACTGGACAGCAGAGAGAGAGAGAGAGAGAGAGAGAGAGAGAGAGAGAGAGAGAGAGGGAGAGGGAGAGGGAGAGAGAGATATCAGCGCCACAGGTAACTTCCACAAAGCTGTGAACGATCTGAGAGACAAGGCAAGGGCCTTCTACGCAATCAAAAGGAACATAAAATTCGACATACCAATTAGGATCTGGCTAAAAATACTTGAATCATTGCCCTTTATGGTATTGAGGTCTGGGGTCCACTCACCAACCAATAATTCCTAAAAACACCAAATTGAGACTCTACATGCAGAATTCAGCAAAAATATCCTCAGTGTACAACGCAAAACACCAAATAATGCATGCAGAGCAGAATTAGGCCAATACCCACTTATTATCAAAATCCAGAAGAGAGCCGTTACATTCTACAACCACCTAAAAGGAAGCGATTCCCAAACCTTCCATGACAAAGCCATCACCTACAGAGAGATGAGTCCCCTAAGCAAGCTGGTCCTGGGGCTCTGTTCACAAACACAAACAGACCCCACAGAGCCCCAGGACAGCAACACAATTAGACCCAACCAAATACCTGAAATACCTGAAAGCTTTGACTATGTTCAGACTCAGTGAGGATAGCCTTGTATTGAGAGAGGCCGCCGTAGGCAGACCTGGCTCTCAAGAGAAGACATGCTATGTGCACACTGACCACAAAATTAGGTGGGAACTGAGCTGCACTTCCTAACCTCCTGCCAAATGTATGACCATATTAGAGACACATATTTCCCTCAGATTACACAGACCCACAAATAATTTAGATAAACTCCCATATCTATTGGGTGAAATACCACAGTGTGCCATCACAGCAACAAGATTTGTGACCTGTTGCCACAAGAAAAGGGCAACCAGGAGAGGGAGAGAGAGCGAGAGAGAGAGAGAGAGAGAGAGGGAGAGGTGACAAGGATCAGGCACACACAAGTTATACTCTATACTTCAAATGATGTCACAGAGATATCAAATGTCCATAGAGTGCCAGTGGAATTGATCCCCTAAGCACATGGGGCCTGTCAAAGCTGATCTATGGATCATCCACCCTGTGACTGGTAGGATCTCGCTCACTGAGAAGGATGTGTGATGTGGTGAAAAACGTACCTCGACGCAGTCCGGTGATGACTCATCAGCTCTTTACAGTAGAATTTCGATGTTGTACGCTCCGGAACCTTCAAAATATAATTTGGACATGTGAGGACACAGTATATGCCTGACTGCCTTAAACAAAGCATGCTGCATATTAGGACATTACAAAAAACGGCATACTATGTAGGGACTCCAGAAACAATATAGTATGTGAAACTGATCCAAATGAGGCAACCTGGACAGTATCACCTTCTATAGTTAGTTGATATTTCATTTCAATATAGCTACATTCTAAGAATCCCAACTTTAGGTGAACACATGAGAAGAAACATATGTCAAGCAGGCACTCAGGCCTTGTGTTTGTGTGACTAATGCTTCAATTTCTCAATGTGGTCCCCAGCAGCTGTCAACCTTTTCACCTTGCTCTCATGTGTCACATCATCACACAAGTGGAAAGGAAGACTACACCCATTGAAAGAGGAAGTCATTCTGAAAATACCCATCTAACTACTGACACGCCTTCAACAGGGCTTAATAGCAGCTCTGGGTTTCATAAGTGTTTCATTTTTTGTTCTTTCTGTGACATGAATAGAACAAGAGAACTTGTAAGCAATTAAAGCACATCAACTCCATATGCTAAGGATACAAATCTATGCTTATTAGAGGAACCAGAGCACGGATGGGCTACTGGCGGCCAGCGGACCTACAGTACCCTTTGCAGGAAATTCACTCTAAAACGTCAATGTTTTCTCTCCGCTATCAATATGGGGGCCATACATTTTTTTTTGCTTGCAAGGAGGCGTGGGTCCCCCAACAAAATGTAGCTTAGGGCCCCCAAAATGCTAAAGCCATCTCTGACTGCATGTGAGGGTGTGTATGTGGAGACGCTGACCCGCGAGACACTGTGGCCCCTCATGATGAGTTCAGATTTTTTGTGGTCCCCACCCTCATCAAAGTTGCCAATACCTGAACTACAGAAATGTTGTGAGAGTTTGTTATTGGAAACACTGAATAATCATCACATCATCGAATGTGCTTGCTGTTAGTCAGGGGTGCCATAGGAAGCCTGAGGGCACTGCCAACCTCGTGCTGAACATTTCACTTCCTCTAAGCTTGCATGATCAACATAATCAAACAAACAACAACAGCAGAACCCCCTAAGAGATAATATCCCACGCACATGTGGTTATAGTCTCACCAGGCACACACACACACACATACAGACAGATAGACACATACCACACAAATACAAACATTCACCACACATACATACAACATGTGTAAATGTACACGTGTATATACAGTATGTACACAACATGTGTGTGTACACACCACAACATACACACACATGTCACCACACTGATAGATGGACAGACCTTTGGTGGGCACTCCACAGAGCTTTGGAAGTCCCAGAAGACATCATCAAACATAGGAGACATGGGAATGGTGGCCATGTCAGACATAGAGCTGCAATGAGGGGCGTCTCGACTTGAGCGAAGATTGGCATTCTGAAATGGACACTTAGTTTAGATCAGGCCATTTAAATTTTTTTTATATATTCATACGGCTCTGGTTTAGATTACTTTATTTAGTGAGACATTGGTCGCGTCCCAAGTTGCACCCTATTCCCTAAAGTGCATTACTTTCAAGCAGAGCCCTATGGATGCAATATAAAGGGAATAGGGTACTATTTGAGACACAGACTCTGAGTACTGTAGGACAGACAAGTTGGGAAATATGAATAAAAGGAAGTAATAGTTTTCGGCTTCTGGGTAAAGTAAGAGGAAGGACAACTAAGTAATCAACCACAAAGCACAAGATGGCATAGGATATGTATAGATCCTTGACTAATACCTTTCTAACAGAAGAGCTGACAAAAACTGTGAGAGTACAAAACGTGGGATTTCAAAATGTTGCAATGATCAAAATATATGTTGAAGCCTTGACACACGTTTGATTAGTCAATAGGGTCTTGCGAAATACGTTTCATAACTTCAAAATAAATTGAAAGAGTGATATTTACAGAGATGTTTTATCTAAAGTTCACAGTTACTGATATAGAGAGGCAATGCCTATTTTCTGACTTGTGTGCTAAGTTAACCCTTTACTTTGAATCTCTTAGGCAGCTGTTTTAACAATGTGTCAATGTCAAGTATATATGTATATATGGTGATGGTGTTGATGTTGCCATTACATGTAATGTACTGTATTGGTAAGTACACCATATTGCATATTGTGAATGCCTAGCTGCGAAATGATTTTCCAAACTGGGGCAAATAAAGATATTGACTGATTTCATTGATTGGCGGTGTTAGGAAGGGTACGGTTATTTAGGCAGGGGGATGGGGGGTGGGCTACAGTACCTGTTGTATGGCAGCCCTCTGCAAGGCAGGGGTACAGGGGCTGGAGCTGCTCCCGGAGCTCAGTCTGGTCTGGTTGTTTAGGGAGGGAGGGAGGGGGTGTAGGGGAAGGGGCAGACCAGCCAACACTCTGTTCAGGTTGACCTGATAGCAGTCAGAGGCCTTCACCCTCTCCATCTCCAGCTGAGCAACATGGACAAGAGCAGTCAGAACCAGACCCATGGACACTGGAGGCAGACTATATTACTGCATACTGGATTATGAATTAGAACTAATAACCCAAAACAGACTTGCAATCTCTCTTTGAGAGACTAATAGCTATCTGGCACACTAATGCACAAACACAAACGCAAACAATCACAACACTAGACAAATAGGGATACAGACAGGGCGGTGACAGAGAGAGAGAGAGGCAGCGGGTAGTGAGGGTGGGCTGGGGGAGACGGGGGGAGTGGGACAAGGGGGGAGTGGGACAAGGGGGACTTTACCGCTTTGCACTGGCTATTTGCGGGGCAGTTAGGCATGGCACTAGCAGCCTTCTGGGGCTCCCTCTGTTTGTGCCTGTGGTCGTGCTGAAGCGAAAGCAGCTGCGTTTGGTCTTTGGGCAGCGTGCGGTGGAACTTTTTCCCCTGCTGCTGCTGATGATGCTGGGGCTGCTGGTGAGGATGAGGCAGTGGAGGTAGAGGCTCGGTCCTCCTCTACACAACGACAGAGACAAACACAGGACACTGGCATTCAGCAGCCTCATCTCGTGCCTGCAGTACTGCCCCAAGACAGATAGATGACAAGGCCATGTGGCCAATGCTGCAGCCTGGAAACAGCTGCTTTCAATGGAGCCTCTACTGTAGCTAGCAGACCCAGGCCCTGTAGGAGCCTCTCATTGAAACTGAAACTGGAACGAGGCTAAACTCTCTCCAGACGTCAGAACTGGAGGAGGTATTGTTTAAGGAGGGGCACTCCCAGGCTTTATGATCAGCACACATAAAACGCACACACACATACACACACATAGAGCCCTCGCCCCAAACACACACCCGCAGGAAGCACACAGGCAAGCACACATACACACACACAACAGACATAAATACAGTCTCAATTTCTTATTGTAGTTAACCACCAAGGACATTTCTCTCACTGTTTACTGTATGTCATGCTTTTCCACTTCAGATTCAATGAAGTGATTACAAGGTCACACTGACATGAACACTAAATAGAGAGAAAGAGAAGTTGAGCTAAATCAATTCAACACCTTTAATCCCATATAGATGTTTTTCATCTATGATTTATGATGAGTTCACCGTCATTTCATGTTTTTTTCTAAATCAGATTAAATGAGAAAAAAAAAACCCTTTATGTTACTAGGCATTTACTCTCTCTTTTAACCAGCGTTGACAAACGCAAGGAGAGCCTTTTTCTCCAAGCTCTGCATGCTATTTAAAGACTAAACACAAGCCATGGAATTATATCATGGGGATCAAGACTAATGTTTACAATGAGGATATTGTGAAGCTAGATGCATAAATAATCGAATAGGGTTCCGGCTGTTTGGCACAGCAGTGGCCTTCTCAAGCAAACGAGGAGACAGGATTCCATACTCAAGTGACAAACACATAGGCTGCGTTTGATCTCAACCAACTTGAATGCATTGCTTTATTCGCCCTACCATATCCGCGGGAAGTAGGGGTGCTGAGGGTGCTGCAGCATCCCCTGAAAAATCGGAATAAATAACAAATATATCTATAAAAAATATACATATTTAAAAAATAAAATCTCATAAAAGTGGTGCACTGAGCCTTTACTAGTCCTGTATTAGCGGACTGATATAGTCGTCTGTAGCGTGGACATTTTTTTTCTTGTTGTAAGCCTAAGCATTCCTTTTCATTGCTTTTCAAACATATTTTTCTTTACATCGCCGTAGGGGGTTGCACTTGCATCCACATATCAAGCAGTTACAATCCATTGTGCCTAAATAGGATTCCTCCTGTGAATTACTTTAGATGCAACTTTAAAGTCGATGCCTTTTAAAGCAAATGACGCCTTTTAGTACAAGGCTCCTTGCGGATTAAAAGTCAAACAGAGCCTTTCAGAGTTCTTAAGTGTTTTCTTCTACAGTACATTACAGTTCGTAGTCTTTATGTTGCCTTTTGAGTACGCAGGGTTGACTGTATTTCCAGTTAGCCTAGCATCTATCATCATTAGAAGTTAGGGAAACAGACCTTTAGAGAACGTGGCCTTTAGCTACCCATGCTAAGTGTGGGATATCATGAGAGGAATCATTTAACAGGACCTGTGGTACAGGAGCCATAGCATACTCTGAGATAGCAACAAGGTCTTGACATTGAAATCAGCCATGGTAGTCTAAACATTGAATTTTTCACCATTCCATTTTCTCCACTCCTTCATTGACAGCAACAAACATACAGTGTGATCCTCTTGACACACCGATGTTCTCACATTATGTGCCGTTTCATGAAGAACCAGTCATAATATTTCCCATAGACCAAGGCACAACATTCACACCAAAACATTTGAATGCAATAACCACCCATGTCTTTCATAAACATTGGAGTGATTTCATTGCACGGTTTGATGCATTTCGTTCCATGCAGGTTGAGTGAGAAAAATCAGAAGGCAGTTATTACCTGTTCATTTAAAGGACCTGCAGGTCTTCCTCCGACATCAATCCTCTGTGTGCCACAATCCTCCAGCTACAATTCAACGAGAGAGAGAGAGAGAGAAAAAAGATTTGATAACGTCAAGGTTTCTGATTTAGGAAATCCAATGACTGAATCTTGGTGAAAAACCTAAAATATTCAGTGTCTAGCTAGCTTCCATAAGGCTCTTAACCCTCCTCTCTAAAATATTTAACCATAAAAATGTGTCCACATAACTCTAAATGACCCTGATAGAGTGAATGGCTGAATCAAAAGCGTGCAGAGAGTTCTTCCCCCCTGGGTTAACACAGAATGGGTTAAAAACATGTTCTAGTTCATAGATGTTAAACGGTACACGTTGCATCTCCAGATGCGCTTGAGGATGCTTGTGGATGAGGAAGCAGAAACCCATGTAAGCTACAGCTGAGACAGGCAGACAGGAGGTGAGAGAGCAGCACAGCCAGGCAATCAGCGCCACTGACCATCTGTAATAAATTGGTAGCCGGGCCACTCTCCAGGATTCTGTCTAAACTCATTAGAACTGCCTTCTACATCACTCTCACCAAGAGAAACACATGCATGGAGCACGTCAAGATACACACATAGGCTGCATCCCAAATTGCACCCTATTCCCTATATATTGTACTACTTCTGATCAGAGGTGGTCAAAAGTAGTACACTATATAGGGAATAGGGTGCCATTTAGGATTCACCCTATGTGTGCATCTTGACATGCTCCATGCATGTGTTTGTTAAATTGTCCATGCATATGTTTTATATTGTTCATTGTTCATTGTTCAAGTTTTATTGTCACATGCACACAGGGTTGCCAGGTCTCGCTTAAATTTCGATACCAATGATCTCTCAAAACCCGTCCACAAGGCCTGAAAACTAGCCCCTACATTTTGTTGCCACATTTATCCAATAAACCCTTTTTCTATAACATAAGTCGCTCTGGATAAGAGCGTCTGCTAAATGATGTAAATGTAAATGTAAATGTAAATTATCGAGCAAATTAAGAAGGAATATTGATGTAATTTGTAATGATGTAAACTAAGAAGCTACATTTGTTTTTCCATCAAAATAATAATTATTGCGAGGTTAAGAATATGTTGCAAGATAAAATATTTTTTGCTCTTATTAAACTCGCCAGATGCTTTTCCATCAACGGATATCGATTTAACTTGTTTTGACTGCTATGATAAACAATAAGGCCCGAGGAGAAGTGATATATACAGCGGCTTGCGAAAGTATTCACCACCCTTGGCATTTTTCCTATTTTGTTGCCTTACAACCTGGAATTAAAATGGATTTTTTGGGGGGTTTGTATCATTTGATTTACACAACATGCCTACCACTTTGAAGATGCAAAATATTTTTTATTGTGAAACAAACAAGAAATAAGACAAAAAAAAACAGAAAACTTGAGCGTGCATAACTATTCACCCCCCCAAAAGTCAACACTTTGTAGAGCCACTTTTTGCAGCAATTACAGCTGCAAGTCTCTTGGGGTATGTCTCTATAAGCTTGGCATATCTAGCCACTGGGATTATTGCCCATTCTTCAAGGCAAAACTGCTCCAGCTCCTTCAAGTTGGATGGGTTCCGCTGGTGTACAGCAATCTTTAAGTCATACCACAGATTCTCAATTGGATTGAGGTCTGGGCTTTGACTATTCCAAGACATTGAAATGTTTCCCCTTAAACCACTCGAGTGTTGCTTTAGCAGTATGCTTAGGGTCATTGTCCTGGTGGAAGGTGAAACTCCGTCCCAGTCTCAAATCTCTGGAAGACTGAAACAGGTTTCCCTCAAGAATTTCCCTGTATTTAGCGCCATCCATCATTCCTTCAATTCTGACCAGTTTCCCAGTCCCTGCCGATGAAAAATGGTGTTCTCGGGGTGATGAGAGGCGTTGGGTTTGCGCCAGACATAGCGTTTTCCGTGATGGACAAAAAGCTCAATTTTAGTCTCATCTGACCAGAGTATTTGTTTGGGGAGTCTCCCACATGGCTTTTGGCGAACAACAAACGTGTTTGCTTATTTTTTTCTGTAAGCAATGGCCAGATACTCCAATCTCCGCTGTGGAGCTTTGCAGCTCCTTCAGGGTTATCTTTGGTCTCTTTGTTGCCTCTCTGATTAATGCCCTCCTTGCCTGGTCCGTGAGTTTTGGTGGGTGGCCCTCTCTTGACATGTTTGTTGTGGTGCCATATTCTTTCAATTTTTTAATAATGGGTTTAATGGTGCTCCATGGGATGTTCAACGTTTCGGATATTTTTTTATAACCCAACCCTGATCTGTACTTCTCCACAACTTTGTCCCTGACCTGTTTGGAGAGCTCCTTTGTCTTCATGGTGCCGCTTGCTTGGTGGTTCCCCTTGCTTAGTGGTGTTGCAGACTCTGGGGCCTTTCAGAACAGGTGTATATATTCTGAGATCATGTGACAGATCATGTGACACTTAGATTGCACACAGGTGGACTTTATTTAACTAATTATGTGAGTTCTGAAGGTAATTGGTTGAACCAGATCTTATTTAGGGGCTTAATAGCAAAGGGGGTGAATATATATGCACGCACCACTTTTCCGGTATTAATTTTTGTGAATTGTTTGAAACAAGTAATTTTTTTCATTTCACTTCACCAATTTGGACTATTTTGTGTATGTCCATTACATGAAATCCAAATAAAAATCAATTTAAATTACAGGTTGTAATGCAACAAAATAGGAAAAATGTCAAGGGGGATGAATACTTTTGCAAGGCACTGTAGCCTACCTACAACTGGCATGCTGTTCTGTCTCTGTGACTCAGCTGCCTGCTGCAGAGCTCATTTATCTTTGTATAGTATAAAATCAATTAATCAATCAATGTGCATGAGGAAACCTAGATATTAAAACAAACTATTCTAAAAAACAACCTGCAACAAAGCATGCTGGGAAATATGATAATGCAGCCCCTCCCACATCTTTTTCACTTTGAGAGAGTTACCGGAAATTAACTCAACACAGTTGAGTAACAACAACACCACGCGATTGAAAATATTTATTGAATCAAATGCCATGTTCAGTTGTCCTGAAATGTAGGTAAGTTGATCTGATCAGAATAAAAGGCATTGAAAGTCACAGCAATTTCTAATGACAAAATGCATTCTAAACAGGACCATTGGAAAGTGTTTAAAATCTGGAGATAGGTGTTCTCCTTATTGGAAACTGACTGGAAAAAGCTGACTACATGTTTAATCTTGCATTCTAAACGCCTGAGTTTAAGAGGAGAACACTTATTGGCACATCTAAATGCCTAATGTTTAAGTTTTAAACACTGACATTTAGGTTATGAACGTGTCAAATGCTTCATGGTTTTACAGTGTAACTTGCAAGCTCTACCCAACAGTGCAGTAATCAATATCAAAATAGTATAAAAAATATATAGAAAAAATTTATATACAGTGCTTTCGGAAAGTATTCCGACCACTTGACTTTTTACACATTTTGTAAAACACCTGTATTTGGGGAGTTTCTTCCATTCTTCTCTGCAGATCCTCTAAAGCTCTGTCAGGTTGGATGGGGAGCGTCGCTGCACAGCTGTTTTCAGGTCTCTCCAGAGATGTTTGATCGGGTTTAAGTCCGGGCTCTGGCTGGGCAACTCAAGGACATTCAGAAACGTGTCCAGAAGCCACTCCTGCGTTGTCTTGGCTGTGTGCTTAGGGTTGTTGTCCTTTTGGAAGGTGAACCTTCGCCCCAGTCTGAGGTCCTGAGCGCTCTGGAGCAGGTTTTATCAAGGAGCTCTCTGTACTTTGCTCTATTTATCTTTCCCTTGATCCTGACTAGTCTCCCAGTCCCTGCCGCTGAAAAACATCCCCACAGCATGATGCTGCCACCACCATGCTTTACCTTAGGGATGGTGCCGGTTTCCTCCAGATGTGACGCTTGGCATTCAGGCCAAAGAGTTCAATTTTGGTTTCATCAGACAAGATAATCTTGTTTCTCATGGTCTGAGAGTCCTTTAGGTGCCTTTTGGCAAACTCCAAGTGGGCAGTCATGTGCCTTTTACTGAGGAGTGGCTTCCATCCGGCCACTCCATCATAAAGGCCTGATTGGTGGAGTGCTGCAGAGATGGTTGTCCTTCTGGAAGGTTCTCCCATATCCACAGAGGAACTCTAGAGCTCAGTCAGAGAGACCATCGGGTTCTTGGTCACCTCCCTGACCAAGGCACTTCTCCCCCGATTGCTCAGTTTGGCCGGGCGGCCAGCTCTAGGAATAGTCTTGGTGGTTCCAACTTTGTTCCATTTAAGGTCGATGGAGGCCACTGGGTTCTTGGGGACCTTCAATGCTGCAGACATTTTTTGGTACCCTTGTCCAGGTCTGTGCCTCGACACAATCCTGTCTCGGAGCTCTACGGACAATTCCTTCGACCTCATGGCCTGGGTTTTGCTCTGACATGCACTGTCAACTGTGGGACCTTATATAGACAGATGTGTGCATTTCCAAATCATGTCCAATGAATTGAATTTACCAGAGGTGGACTCCAATCAAGTTGTAGAAACATCTCAAGGTTGATCAATGAAAACAGGATGCACCTGAGCTCAATTTCGAGTCTCATAGCAAAGGGTCTGAATACTTATGTAAATAAGGTATTTCCGTGTTTTAATAATAATAATATGCCATTTAGCAGACGCTTTTATCCAAAGTGACTTACAGTCATGTGCGCATACATTTTTACGTATGGGTGGTCCCGGGGATCGAACCCACTACCCTGGCATTACAAGCGCCATGCTCTACCAATTGAGCTACAGAGGACCACCCATTTGCAAAAATGTTTAAAAACCTGTTTTCACTTTGTCAATATGGGATATTGTGTTTAGATTGATGAGGAAAACATTAATTTAATCCATTTTAGAATAAGGCTGTAACGTAACAAAATGTGGAAAAAGTCAAGGGGTCTGAATACTTTCCGAATGCACTGTATAATAAAGAAAACAAGAAATAACAAATTGGAGAGGAAGCTATATACAGGATCAGTGCCAATACCACATTTACAATGAGCAGGGATACTGGAGTATTTGAGGTAGATACAATTTGTAAGTCGCTCTGGATAAGAGCATCTGCTAAATGACTTAAATGTAAATGTAATACAGTATGTCCATGTAAAGTGACTGGTAGCAGTATTAATAATAATAGTAAACAGTATTGCAGCAACATAAGTGGTGGGTGGGTGTTTGCATGGTGGTGAGTGTGTGTATGTAAGTGTTAGTGTGTGTGTGTGTCACGCCCTGACCTGGAGAGACTGTTATTCTCTAGGTAGTTTGGTCAGGTTGTGAGAATCTATGTATTGTAAGTCTATGTTTGGCCGGGTGTGGTTCCCAATCAGAGGCAGCTGTCGCTCGTTGTCTCTGATTGGGGATCATACTTAGGCAGCCAGTTTTCCTGCCTGGGTTGTGGGATCTTGTTCCGTGTTTAGGCTTGTATGTGTATAGCCTGAGGACTTCACGTTACGTTGTTTCTTGGTTTGTTTATGTTTATTGAGTTTAATAAACATGTTCGCATACCACGCTGCACCTTGGTCTGACCCGTCTCTCAACGATCGAGACAGAGTGTGTGTGCCATAGTGATAGTGTAGGTGTGATAGGCGGATATACATGTAAACAGGGCTGAAAAGTGACTGGTAGCAGGAATATACACATACTTATGGTAATATACTAGTAGTAATATATACAGTACATGTAAACAGGAGTAATAGTGACCAGTAGCAGGATAAATAGATAGACACTAATGGTAATGGCAATCAATAATCAATGAAAAGCAGCGTAGTGGTAGTAATACATCTAATCAATAATCAATTTAGTAGCAGCGTAGGTGTGAGGGGGAGCAGTAGTTGTTAGCCATTTAACAGTCTTATGGCCAGGGGATAGAAGCTGTTAAGGAGTCTGTTGGTCTGAGCCTTGATGCACTAGTACCGCCTGCCGGACGGTAGCATGGAGAACAGTCCTTATCTCGGGTGGCTGGAGTCTTCGGAGATTTTTCGGGCCTTTCTCAGACACCGCCTGGCATGTACATCCTGGATGGCTGGGAGCTCACCCCCAGTGATGCGCTGGGCCATCCGCACCACCCTTTGTAACCAGTCAGGATGCTCTCGATGGTGCAGCTGTAAAAGTTCCTAAGGATCTGAGGGGCCGTGCCAAATTGTTTCAGCCTCCTGAAGGAGAAGAGGCTCTGTCTTACTTTCTTCACGACTGTGCTGGTGTGAGAGGACCATGATCAGTCCTCAGTGATGTGGACACAGAGGAACTTAAAGCTCTTGACCCTCTCCACTGCGGCCGCGTCGATGTGGATGGGAATAGGGAATATGGTGCCATTTGGAATGTACCCATACTGTATACATCCTGGAGAATGATTTGTGGGCTATTGCTCAGCTAATGGTACATTGAACAGACTCAAAACCACTGCACACCTTAATGATCCCACTGAACATGACCGTAACAGACACACACAGACTGACATGTCATCTACTGTACTGCACTGCAGTCAGGCAGGCAGGTGTGGCTCATTCAGAGCCACTGAACTGTGTGAGATTAATTAACCGAGTGTTCGAATTAAACAGTCTAATTAAAGTCCTCAGAACGACATGACAGTTCCCTTTACCTTGGCTATAGGATGATGTAATTGTCAGTGACTTCTCGCCATGGCACTCAGCCTAGCTCCAACTTCAAATAATGGGAAATGTTAATACAGCATAAAAAAGTAAGAGACGTTTAATTATTTTCTCTCAGGATGGTCCCACAGGCAATTTATTTCTGCGATCTTCCATAGCGTTTCTAACTTCATCAGTGGAGTTAAATGCTAGCTTGGTGGATTTAATCACCAATGGGCTGAAACCTGAGACAAGTGCAAGTGCTGCGTCAACACCCTTCATATCAAATGCATATAAGCAGTTTTTGTAGAGGAACATGTATAAAATGTTAACTTGCACCTGGATTAAAAATGCATTAACCTTGTCACAATGCATTTTTCAGAGCAGGTTACTGACAAAACAAAGTGGGTCCCGTCCCAGTGAAAACTACAGTGTTATGTGTTATGATGCTCAACCAGGTTAACATGTTCAGACTTAAGACACACATTATGTGTGGACCAAAAATGTCTACCGAGACTGTAGAATCTAGATCATATTGGCCCATGATAATGCCGTTTGAACTCCAGGAACTTACAGCTTGTAGTAGCTTGTAAAGTACAGTGTTATTACACAATAATCTAAATATTTATAATCCTCCTCAGGTATCGGGCACAAAAGACCATCAAATCAGCACAAACTAGTTTGGTTTCTGCCTATCCCATGGAGCCATACGAGTGGATAAGAATTGAGTGGGTAGGGTAGGCAGTCTACTACTTAAAACATTGTGTTCTTTCTGGGGGATAAAATTTGCCAGCTACCTGTCTCTTGTCCCTTCGCTTGCTTCTCTCATTGAATAGACCTCTCTCATTAGCTTCAGTCTCCTCCCTCCATAGCATCTCCTGTAGCTCTGGCCATTGGACCCCAGAATCCTGCAGCTGTCTCCTCTGTTGCTGTAACACAACAACAACACAACGTCACTAAAGATGGTATTACCTCATTCAACAGAATATATTTTCTCTGCCAATTCTCAATGCGACATCACAGTCCAACACGGCACATGACATAATTCTCTATCCATCTGTACTGTACAAACAAAAACACTACAGAACACACCATAGCTCTATACTCAGACCTAATACGACATACAGTATCACGTCAGTCGTCATTTGTGCAAAGCACACCACACAAAAGCATCACTCCCGAAAGCAATCCACAGTATAATACTCTATATTGTTCTAGAACACAATTCTTTGGTTTGTTCAACACAAAAGAGTTCTTCTAATTTGAGCCAAACAAACAACAGGAGGGAGAGAGCGAAAGAGAGAGCCCTTCAGTCTCTAGCCAGCCAAGCTCATTTGCTGGCTGGGCAGCAGGTGTTTGGCTCTGCTGCTCTGCTGGAGAGGGCTGCAGAGAGCAGCAGAGTGGTTCAACTAAAGAGTGTCTCTCACATCCTCCAGCCTCCTGCGGTGCTCTTTCTGTTGTTGGATCCTCTTCTGCCTCTCGGCCAGCAGCTGCTGTTTGTACCTCTCCTGGTCCAGGAGCTGTTGCTGGAGGACCTGCTGCTGTCGCTGGGCTTCTGACCGGCTCTTGTTCTCCTGCTGCAGACGCAGGAACTCTCTCCTTAGAGTGGACTCCCCCGGTAGGTTTACTATGGAGCTATGGAGAAAGGACAGAAATGGTAGCAAGGCACATAGTGAGTGACGGGCAGGAGTGAGGAGGCACGTGGTTATATGGATAGGAGTAGAGTTACACACAGGAAGGAACACTTGCATGCACATGCACACAAGCATGCACGCACTCACGCATACACACGTGCAAACACACACACACACACACACACATACTGTCCACAGCAGAAAAGAAAATTATTTTTTATAGTCACTGCCATATGGCGCCCTGTGTCCAGCTAAGGGAACACAAGCAGGAGCATCTGGTGACACATTAATGTCTTCATGGACGCGCCGATGCATTCACACACTGTGCACTCTCAGATGAATATCCTCTATGACAGTTCTCAGGGTCAACGCCTGCATCAGCTATTACATAACCTGTAAAACTCGGACTTGTCACAGACGGGGTCAGCTGGCTGCTTGATGGACGTAGACGTGACGTCACAGCTAGAGTCTGACCTTCACTGCAGACAGTGCAAACGCTGTGTCATCATACCTGGGTTCACCTTCCTCTTCGTTCATCTCCTCCTCCTCATCCTCACTGCCGCTGTACTCATACTCTGGGCCCTCTGTGGACAACATGTGACCAGTGAATATTTCAGACATGAGGGATGCATGTAATCCCAATGATACCATCATGCACATGACTGTATATACTGAGAAAACAAGGAGATGGTTCTATACTGTAGAACAGAGCAGGGAAGACATCAAGCATCAGTAAACCAACCTAATGTCTCCCCTCCAGGTGTCTCCTGCAGTTTACCCACATGGAACTAAAACTCGTCATGAACTGTCTCACTCACTTCCTTTTCTTCAATAGGATTGCATTCCAAAATGCTTGTCAGAAATGACGAAATACTTCTGCATGTTAAGTAAGGCTCATTCTTCCTTCTGAAGCCTCATGAGTGATTGTGAATTACACAGAGAGAGAGAGAGAGAGAGAGAGAGAGAGAGAGAGAGAGAGAGAGAGAGAGAGAGAGAGAGAGAGATACAGAGAGAGAGGGAGAGAGAGAGAGAGACAGAGAGAGAGAGAGAGAGAGAGAGAGAGAGAGAGAGCGAGAGAGAGAGAGAGAGAGAGACAGAGTGTGGCTGGCCCCAGAGAATGGGTATATGTTTCTAATTCCAAGTCAAACTCTAGTAGGTTATGAAAACAGGATAATGACTGAGTGTTTCTGCTGTGTTTGGAGCCGCCGCTATCAGCGTCACAGGGTCTCACTACAGGCTTGGCTCTGCTCTAAAGGGTCATCTCTCTCTCCGTCTGACCAGCTAAGCAGAACGCCAACCAACAAACCAACGGCACAGGGCCGAGGAAACTGCTGTTTTGGTATCGGGGCGAAGCCTGTAGGCTCGGAGGGCGCAGGCAGGCAGGGAGACGATGTCATTATGTGGCGTGGGGAGGAAGACGGAGCGAGGGAGGCCGCAGGGGGTGTGGTGCAGTCTAGGAGATGATTAAACACTGCTTCCTCCGAGGCGCATTCCTCTCACATGACACGGGTGTGCAGTCTCACTGTGAGAGGGCTGACAAGGAGCAGTCCTGCTGCTGCCTCTAAACCCAAATCCCACCACATTACCAGTGGATAATGGAACCCTTTATCACAACCTTTCATTAATGACAGGCATACAGTAGCCTCTCCCTAGGCCTAGAGACATTCAACACAAGGGTAGACAGAGAACTGGGAGACTAGATTGAGAATCAAAACACCTTTTTTCTGCCACTTTCACTGTCGCTGCCAGTGTGACTAAGAATAACAAGGCCAAAAAGGTGCCCCGCGGTCATTAGCAGCGCAAGGTATCATACAGCACTAAATCATGATATTAAGTTATCTCTATAGCCTTGACTGCAATACTCAGTTGTTGAGTGAGACTAGGTGATCTCTGATATCCCATTATGACAACATGGCCTCACCTTTGTCTCTCTTCTTCCTGGTTCTGTCCAGGTGGTCTTTGAGCATGATGCGGACCTGCCGTTCGTTGGGCAGGTCTTTGATGAACGAGTGTCTCAGGAGGGTTTCTGTGGCGGGACGGTGGAGGTAGTTTTTTACCAGACAGCTCTCCACAAAGGTCAGGAACTTTTTGGACCTGGAGAGGACAGAGGGTCACAACATACAAGCTCAGGCTGTGTCCGAGATGACACCCTAACTCCTATGTAGTGCCCTACCTTTGGCCAGATCGTCATGGGCTATAGGGAATAGGGTGCCATTTCAGATACAGTCTCAATTCTCAATGTCTGCCATGCATGAACCCAACTCACTCTCACTTAATATTGAATGATCGAACTTCATGGGTTCAAACACAAGGCTTCATGCATTATGAAAGGTAACAAAGTAGGGCTGCTGAAGACATGTGAACAGGAAGACAAAAGTTGATCCACTTTCCCTTCCCATTGGCTTTAAAAAGCCTTATTTTAGAGCCTTGCATGCAGTCAAACTGTTACTGTGGGGATTGTCATCTCACACTGAGATGCTAAAATTACACCCAGGAACATGATGATAAACAATATGTGCTCAGCCTGAACTAATGCTACAGTACACAAAAAAAAAACCGGTAAGATAAGGGGTGAATAAGGGACATTGTATTGCGGCAGTTCTGTTGGCAGTAATGTTATTGGAGCTAGCTAACCAAGAGAAAGGGCTGGGTGGAAGGGCGAAGGAAGGCGAAGGGAGGCTGTATGAGTTTTGGCCACTCTGGGGAAAACATTCCTCGCTGTGTTGCTGAGGCTCTGTGGGGCGTGGTGTCTCTAAGCGAGAGAGGCTGAGCTGTCTTACCATTTCTTTGATTTGAGCTTGGGGGGCGGGTTGCGAGGAATGAGGAACAGGGCTCTCATGGGATGCATGTCACACAGGGCTGGGAACAGAGACAGACACAGACAGAGAAACTTAGTTGCATCCCAAATGGCACCCTCTGGGCCTTGGTCAAAAGTAGTGCACTGTGTAGACAATAGGGTGCCATTTGGAACGCAGCTGACAGACAGGGGATCGAGGTTATGAGAGGCTCCATTGTGGCCTAATCACATGGCAGGGGATGGAAGAAGTGTTCCACAGTGTTGTCAATGTCAGGCTATAGTCCTGTCCTGGTGCACACGGCCTGCTTGTAGTGTGTGTATACTTCACAGTCCTACTACAACACTGTTTGTTTTTCATTCAGTGATTGTGAACTCCCTCTTGGTCATGGTGCAACACTAGGCTTAGCAGACACCAAACAGTCATGAGTTTCTTTCATTTGTTTCTCGGTTTTTGACTCAAGGGTTTTCCATTTCAAAACGCTAGAGAACTGTCTGACCTCAGTCACATCATTGTGAGCCCAATCACTTTCAACGACACTTGGATTCAGTCCGTGACTGGTAATATGGGCCGCAACATCTGACAACACTGTGAAGTCACTCACAGAGAGAGAATGAAAACATACAGTGAGTTAATCCAACAAAACTCAAAAAAAATACAGCATAATAACATAGGATATGCTTAAAGGGATACTTCAGGATTTTGGCAATGGCCCTTTATCTACTTCCCCAGAGTCAGATGAACTCATGGATACCATTTCTATGTTTCTGCATCCAGTATGAAGGAAGTTAGAGGTAGTTTCTCGAGCCAATGCTAACTAGTTAGCAACTTCCTTCAAACTGCACGCAGACATACAAATTGTATCCACGAGTTCATCTCACTCTAGGGAAGTAGATATGTTGTCTTCATTGCCAAAATCCTGAAGTATCCCTTTAAAAGAAAATAAACCATATAATTACAGTAGAGCATATTAGCCAGGGTCTCCAAAAATACCCTCCAACTCTAAGATGTGGAGGAGAAAGAGAAGATTGCTTGATGAGACTGTAATGTGTATGGACAGGAGGGGAGGGAGAAGGTGACACTTACGTGGTGCTCCTTCAGCCATCTCCAGAGCTGTGATTCCCAGAGACCACAGGTCACTCTATAGAGGAGGAGAGTCATCCAGTCAGATCCACTCAACAGACAAGCGTGGGGACTCATCTTGATAAATCAATCAATGTCAGATTTTAGTTTTCACTGAATCTTGTTTGGATATTTGGTAACAATTAGGCTGGGAAAATAATAGTTAAGTTAAGGTGAGTGCTCATGATCATCTTTATTCTAGTTTGCTCATATATCAGCTGATAGGAAGATTTTGCTAGCATGTTATGTAGCTTATCAAGTTGATTTTTCCCTTCAGTCGCGTAGTAGCCTGTCCTACTCCCAAGCCCGTGACTTGTCTGATAATGAATCAATGTAATTTTGTTTTACTGAATCTCCGTCTGTATATTTGGTTAATTGATCTCTGGCTGGGCAAGTGGAGGTGGTAACTCATTTATTAATTTGCTCATCTATCACTGATCAGAAACATTTAGAATGCAATAATGTATCCTAAATCAAGTGTATTATTTTGCTCTTGACTCACGTAATAGCCTTATATAATCTATCCACCATCCAGCTGTGAGAGCGCCTCCTTTTTTATTTGCCTTAACGTAACTTAGCATACTTCAATATAATCAATCATTCATTCATGTCATTACACAGCATACGAGTCATTCATGCCTTTAAATACAATCAAGCATTTACATTTTTTTATTGAATAACAAAGGGAGCCTTGAATCATTAAACAATAAATAAAACTAGATTTTCTGCCAAACACCCATTTGAATAATCGCTCAAAAGCGCCGTGTTTTGAATGCATGCTTGATTAGGAAAATATTTGGATCAGTTATGGGTCTACTTTCGATAGTTTACAAGGTCCAGCAAGGCACATTAGCAGGGCAGTCAGAGGGTGTATTTTGTTAGGATGTATCAGCGTTAACAGATGCTATTGGAACATGGGCTTCTCCCTGATACTCAGATGCGATGCCTGTCGTATTCTTGTGGATCATCATTCTACCGAGTGCACTCCAGCCTATTCGTATCGCAATTTGAAAAATGTAAATCATCAGAAAATTAAGTTTCATCATGGTCACAAATTTCTCTGGCCCAGCCAATATTGGAATCCTGGCACCGCGAGTGTCTGCAGCTGCTGCGGCTGAGAGAGAGCTGTAGAAGGCTAAAAGGTGCGCAGATACGCACCGTTTTTTTTCTCTTAAAACAGTATGGCAAGACTGAAACCTGCCAGAATCAATTAACAGAATTTGAGGCATAAGACCAGGCTGTCGGGCCCCGTCGGGTTTGTGCTCAGAATGAGAACTCTAACACACACACACGCACACACACACAAACAGCATTTCCAGGAGAAATGGCAGCCTCTTACCCTGTAGTCATAAGTAGAGTCTGGGTTCTCGTCACAAGCAATGACTTCAGGGGCCATCCAGTACGGAGTCCCAATAAAAGTGTTCCTCTTCCCAACCGTCCTGTCCAGCTGAGCACTCACCCCAAAGTCAACTGGCAAAGACAAGATACAGTGTTTGAACAGATTAAACCACACCTACAAGAGGAGAGCAAGTCAATACTGAAGTGACAGTGACACATCCTTTTGAAATGGCCAACTGTGGCTATGTGGGTTGTGAGTTGAACTTTGACCCTGTCTCCTAGTCCTTACCCAGCTTGACCTCTGCGTTCTCAGTCAGCAGCACGTTCTGGCCTTTGATGTCTCTGTGAATGACGTGGTATGAGTGGAGGTGAGACAGGCCCTGTGTAGACACACACACAAAAACACACACAATATCAGAACACGACACAGGCACGCACACAGTGTACACATTACATGACCTCTCTCTCTCTTGGGGCTTGGGAGCTGTCCAACAGAACAGGCACAGAAATCATACACTGCTTCAAAGGAGTTAAAAATAAACGCATGAAGTTTGTTTTATTTAAGACAATGACTTCACCGTGCTACGCTGCTATCTGCCCCTGTGGGCCATCGTCTAACCCTCCATTACTGTCCTACCATAAGTTTATAAGCAAAAGCTCCTAGCCCAATTCAATAACGTACCCACTACAATATGGCGGATATAGGATGAGAAGAGCTCTCTGAAGTGATTCTCAGGACCTTTACATTTCCCCAGGGGTTTGTGGCGTGAGTCCTACTTAAATGGCTTATCTCCAGTAGCAGTACTCACTCGGAGGACCTCCCTGCAGATGTAGGCGATCCAGTCTTCTTTCAGGCAGTTCCCTTTAGTCTTCTTCACTAGGTCAGTGACTGAGCCCGCCCCACAGTACTCCATCACCAGCTACACAGCAAGGTCACACACAGACACAGAGGAAATGGCTCAGACAGATGCCAGCCCACCAGCAGAACAGCACCCTGTTACTACAACTGCTAGGTCTAAAAACACATCAAATACAGCACACAAGGAAAGGCACAGATACAACTTGGACTTTAGATGAGTTAAAGGGCTCTGAGGTTTCCCTGATCAGGTCACGGTGTCAGGAAAAACACCTGGCCCTGGTTATGCATTCTGCGACCATGTTTTTTGGTGCATACCACAGGAGGTTGGTGGCACCTTAATTGGGGAGGATGGGCTCAAGGTAATGGCTGGAGCGGAATTAGTGGAATGGTATCAAATACATCAAACACATGGTTTCCATGTGCTTGATGCCATTCCATTACTTCTGTTCCAGATATTATTATGAGCCATCCTCCCCTCAGCAGCCTCCACTGGTGCATACTAACCTAAAGAATCTGTATGAGCTGTACATACATATAGATAGCGATACAGGCCCTCTTAAAGATGATACATTATTGAGATGATTGAAGTGAGGAGAAATCAACAGAGATGGAGAGCAGCCACTCACCCAGAGCTGGTCATCCTGACCTGCAGGACTCTTCTTCACAAAGGCACCATAGTATGTAGCTATATTTCTATGATGGGAATATGTCTTCAACATATTAATCTCTAACTTGATTTCTTCTTCTTCTTCCTGCAAAACAAAAAAGGATATTAAACATTTTTAATATCAAACTTGACAATGGAAAACAGCAGGCCGTAATGCAGCCAACCCAAAACTCTTGCTGCCCATGCACATAACAGTTACAGTTTACTTTTAAGCCAACATTCAAGTTAAACTGAGATGGTGGATTTGTGCTGGGCTCGCCATACTGGTGACCCACAAGCCTGCCAACACGCATTGCAATCAACAGCAGTGATGATTTCATCACTGGCTCAGTCTCTACCAATTATGGCATGTGGGCTTGGAGTCCATTTTAGCATTCATATTTACATTGCATGGGGCACTAAGGCTACGTTGATTTGTTCCTTCACATACACTCCACTGATATACCCTAAGTAAGGCTAAGGGAGGGCTCATGTAGCGTAGCATGTCTTTGGCGTGGAGATAGAAACAGACAGCTTCTCTTTAAGAAGCCGTAGTGTGTGTCAGAGGGGCCTGAAGGGGATTTGTTTGTGTGTGAAGCCTTGGAAAAGCATGACACTTCTTTATGCGTTGCGTTTCTATTCCCTGGGTTTTTCATACAGTAGTAGGCCTATAGTCAATGGACTGTAACATGACACTGTCTTTCTGGACAGGAAAACCACAACATCCCTTAGCTACTGCCCAGAATGTATCTTAGAAATTCAACCTAATGTGCTTGATTTGGTAGACTAGTTCATTCCAAAAAATCCTGTAAAGGATTTGTTTACAGTGTATCTTGTGCATATGACCAATTAGACTTTACATTACATTTTAGTCATTTAGCAGACGCTCTTATCCAGAGCGACTTACAGTTAGCACATACATTATTTTATCGAACCCACAACCCTGGCGTTGCAAACGCCATGCTCTACCAACTGAGCTACATCCCTTGCCGGCCATTCCCTCCCCTACCCTGGACGACGCTGGGCCAATTGTGCGCCGCCCCATGGGTCTCCCGGTCGCGGCCGGCTACGACAGAGCCTGGATTCGAACCAGGATCTCTAGTGGCACAGCTAGCACTGCGATGCAGTGCCTTAGACCACTGCGCCACTCGGGAGAGACTTTGATTTGATTTACAGGGGCTGATAGGTTGTGTGGTTTAATAATGATACTGAGCTCCCCAAAATAATAACACAATAATACATGTGTTGTTTTCTGCCAGTACACATATTTTACAAGTACACATCCGAAATAGCCTCCTATATAATAATATGAGTGGGAATGAACTTTTCCCTAAACGATAGCAGTATAACAGAAGAGGTTTAAATGGGGACATCAGGCAGTATTTCTCTCTATTCTCGCCTTACCTACAGCCTCCCTGCTCCTGTCTCCTGACCCCGAGAGAAACAGCAGCTCCATTCAAGACAGGCATTTGACCTCTCTTAAAGAATGGTACCTTTCTGTACTGGAAAGGGAGACAACCACATGCCTTCACTGAACCTTCCTTTCCCTTTAAATCAAACCAGGAAGAGGAGAGGACATTCCTGCTCGGAAAGGACCCGGCACAGCTGCTCTCTGTACAGGACAATGTCTCAATCCCCAAGAGGGGTCGAGGCGAGTGACCGGGACCGCGGCTGGGCCCTGGGTCTGGGGCCAGGCAGCCTGAGGAGCAGGGGCTAATGGAGGGGGAGTGAGGGAAGGGGAGCGAGGGTGAGGGTAGGGGATGGGGGGGGTTAAGTTATGTGACTGTCGGAGGGATGTGTTGGAGCGGAGAGGAGGAAGCCTGGGCCTGGGCCTTCAGCGAGGGGCCATTCAGTCCTACAGGAAATGTCCTGCTATTATCGCCCTGGGCAGATCGACAATACAAGATGGACAGGAAAAGGGCAAAGGCATTTGTGTGCTGAGAAGAGAGAGATTATTGTCCGAGAGCCTGGAGCGGCGGTGTTATCTCCTCTGCTTTTACTCTCTGGGGTTCAATACTGGGCCTTTTAAACTCATCTAGGCACCTCAGACATTCTTTACGTGTTAGGCCAATACAACACCTTTAATATCAGCCAGCAATTCAAGGCTGATCTAATAAAAAGCAAGATCAAAACACAGATATTGGAGAACTTAATATCAGTTTTAATGGTATGTTTTTATGATGATACATTTGAAACTGTGCCGTATTGATTAACTGTGTCTTATATTCTCTATTGAGAAAATAATAAGTGCGGTGTTGAACTTCAGTCACTCTATACATAATTTCAGATTGCACTGCAGAGACTGACACTGTTGATCCTTGCTCAGATCTTAGTTTAAAATGTACCTCAAAGCAACAAAAAAAAGAAGAAGGATTTAATTAAATCTTTGGCCATGTACACTTTGCGCTATTGTAATAACACTCCTCTTTGTTCTTGTAGAGGGCCAGGAGGGCCAACTCAATCAGTTTCTATACAGTACATAGTCTCATCACCAGGTAGCTTTATTGCCCTGAGGGGAACGAGATGATTAAACTTTCCCTGAACAAACATGGCTCCCAGTGTTCTCACCTGCTGATTGACAGCTCAGGATATAATAACCTTTGGTGTGTGTTAACTGGGTCTCATTTGCATTTCTTAAATAAAACACTGTCTTTGAAGGTAAACTGATCTGAGTGTGAAGCCCCTCCTTGCCCCTTTGACTCGGCAGAGTGGCAGTCGCACGGCCGTGGCCCTCCCTGCATATGTCTGTGTGGCGGGATGGAGACAGGAACCAGGAAGTGGCCGTCTTACCTCTGTCACGTCCATGACCTTGATAGCAGCCAGCTGTCCCGTCTTCACATGTCGTCCCTGTCGAGATCCAAGGACAGTCAGTGGGACAGTTAGGGACAGAATGGCCATCGGCCGCCAATAATAGCTAAGACAATCAAGGACCCTCAGAGTCTATGATGATGATGATTATACTGTTAAGAGTTATTAAGCAAATTTGGTACTGTGACCCTTGAAGCTTATGTCACAAAGTCACTCAAGACACATTGTAAAAAGTAAGACAATGCATTTAGCGCATAATAATTACAGTTGGGCTACTTGCACAAACATTATGCAGTAGTTAAGGTTATTGTTGAGACAACCACAGCATTTTATGAAACATCTTTTTTTAAACATACGCATCATTCAATACAGGGCAACAACCATACTGGCAACCACAACGGAAAGTCTAACGTCTAAGACCATGTGTACCAGTCAGGTGAGGTAAATTGAGGGAGGGGAAAATGCATCTATTTCTGTAACTGAGTCTGGTGGCAGAAAAAGAGGAAGGAGGTAGGAGAGCAGTGAGTTGCTACGGAACATTTTTAAACGTTATGTATGTGTCAGAACCTAAGGAGCAGAAGAGGTATAGGTACAGAAACTCTGTGAAAAGTGTGTAGAGAAAATGGAACACGGGCCTGAGCTGGAACAGTACATGTCTCACTAGACTGACCTCCATTGTTTGTTCATTTGAAAAATGGCTCATATCATCCAACACAATTGACTGTGGTCTACGGAATATCATGTACATATGGCGAGATTGAGTTGCTTGAAAACACCACAAAATGCTGTTATCCACCTCAGAAATCACAGTTTTACTCCACCAATCTTGAGAACAACTCTTATAACCTCCGCTAATATTGTAATTTCTTATTTCACATACAAAAGCGTACTATATTTCATATGTTTGATTCGGCAAGCAGAAAGTCACACTTAGTATGGTATAAGAGTTTCAGTAAAATTATTCTAAAGTAAAAATGATGCAATACTCCTTGTGAATCTGATTCAAATAAACAGTTACATTGTCCATCCTGAGAACTGTTGCAATGAATGTAAATGTGCGGGAAAAAAACTATCCCCATCTGAAATGTTTTTCAAAAAATATGAGTCAATATCCTATTCCCAAATCAGGAGTGTAGCGAGGAGCATTCAGGTGGGACAATCACATAATCAATACAATGCATTTAGCTGCCTCTCATAAGCCAATAAGAGGCTTCTGTAGCATTCCCACTGACTGCAGCCATCTCGTCCATGTTCAGTCACAGCGCAATGGGCTGAGGCAGATTGATGTTAGTCCGTTGCACTTTACCGTTATTTTGCAAATTCATTTGCCATTTTGACAGATGCCATACATTTGAGTTACTTATGCAGTGGAGTGAGTGTAATGACTATGGAGGTTATTCTCCAAATGAAAAATAAACAGAACACAGACTACAGGCAAAGCAAGCACTTATCATCCAGTATTGGAAATAGCACTGTGCAGTTTTGCTCTAGATGGTAGAATCACTTATCCCAGAGGAGAGAGGAATGGTCCTGACCTTTCATATGTGGCTATGCTCACTGACAGAATGTGACACCACTGCCCATCTGTAATAAAGTGCACGGAGATGGAGGTAATTGAGAAAGATCTTAGTAGCTAGCTTCCCATGTTACAGCTTGGCAATGCTGTACACAAACTACGTTTATTTTTATTTTTATTATCACTCAGCAAAGGTTAAAATCACATATTCATGGGTATGTAATTTTGTGACAACAGAGCTATTTATGTTACCAATGGTAAGAGGACAACCGTGACCAACATTCATTTTTTATAAGAGGACAGAATGCAAGCAGCATATGTGTCTTTTTTGCCTCAGTGCATTTACACAAATGATTTTTCCTTACTTTGTCATTCTGAATTACCCACCGCAAGCATTTTGTTTGTACATATGTAGCAGAAGAGAGGACAATTGTGTCCAGGAAGAGAATTTGACACAGCTATACCGGGTGTGAACTACTCACTTCACTCCATAACACAACAATGCTCTCACTAGTCTGGTGTATTTTACCTTAACAAAACAGGAAAAGGGAGTGAAATGCACAAGGAGAGAGAGCACTTTGAATGTCTTTTAATTCCCAATATGCTTTCTATACTCTAATATATGGATATTATGGGATATAGGCAGCAGATTTAGCTATCCATTTAGATCCAAGCTACCCATCTAAAGCAGAGTTTCTAACTCAACTTTGAAAACCATGAACACATCAGGGAAAACCTAGAGAGAGTTTGTTGGTAGCTGTTGGTAGCTTGCCAGTATTGTTCCAATATATCCCAATGGCAATTGACAAGACACCTACTCGTTTCACAAATGCAAACTTGGGGACTAGTATCAATCACATTCCACTGGGCAAAAACTGGTTGAATAAACATTTTTTCCAGATCATTTGAACAAAAAACTTAAATGTGATGACATTGAATCAACGTGGAAAACTGTTTGGATTTGCAAAAAGTCATCAACCTAAGGGATTTTTGTATTTTTTTCACCCAACTTGCAACCTAAATCCAATGACATTGTGTCTTTTTTTGTTGATTTCACATTGAATTCACATTAGTTGACAACTCAACCAAATGTAAATCAAAACTAGACGTTGAACTGAGGTCTGTGCCCAGTGGGACAGTATTGTGCAGCTGCACTGTTGCACAATATGCTAGTCTATGTAACCACAGTCTTGCACATCCACAGAAATTCGGCATCACTAATCACTCACATATGTGATAACGATCCGATCCACAGATTGCCTTGAAATAAACCCCTATATTATTTCTGTACAGGTTGCAATACAAAATAAATACACAGGCAAACAGCGGTGCCTTTGAGTATTCCCATGTTTATTGTTATTTCCTGCCATTGCCTGCCCATGTTTATCTGTGATAGTTGTGTGTACTGTAGGACATCAATGTGAGAAAAGATTCGAGAGCGGTCGGTGCAGACTGCTGCTTGGCGGTTGGGCAGACAGCAGCAGGCCACACCATGTGAACAGATTTTTGAAGCAGACACTCAGCACCAGGTTCAATTAGGAAGTGGGCCAGTGCTCCCCACAAGCACAGGCAGGAGTTAAAATGGCCACAGCTTCCTGTGCCAGACTAGAGCAGAGTGAGAGAGCAAGCACACATGGGAAAATAACAAGAGCCCCATAATCGAATCTGATTAAAATATGATTATCTTGAACAATAACAATGAGCTGAAAACTGTTTGGGCTAATGACCAAATACTAACAATAGACTTCTAGGCAAAGTCACTGATATTTACTTTGATAATAGTATGATCAAAATAGGAATTTTTACAAACGCTTTACACAATTATAGATGTATTTTACTTCTGTAGAAAAACATGTTAGTCACAAGAGGGATTGTGGCATATAGTCTTGCTTTGACCAAAATTATTCTTAAACATTCAAGCTGGCTGTGTTCCATTGTCACAGTCAAACTCTCCAAATACAAAGCCAAGCTTTTATACAGGCTATTTCAAAGGGACACAAAAATGAAGTTAGTTAATAAATGGTTGAAATTGCTTTTGGTGGTCCGACAATTCACCATCAGTTGTGGGCACTGCAGAGTAGACTATTTTTACAATATAGAGGAATAATTCCTCGTGTTAGTGGGATATGAGACATTGAGACTTTGAACATGCATTACATACAGTAGGATAATAGCTAGGTCTCAAGCTCACGAAATGACTGTAGAAGTAGCAGATCATTTGATTTCCCATTTCAAAATGCTTCTTGTTGCATGCCAGCAAAACCTTTGCCCAACATGTCAGATAATTTGTTACTATTTTCTTTCACCTTTATTTAACCAGGAAGCCAGTTGAGAACAAGTTCTCATTTACAACTGCGACCTGGCCAAGATAAAGCAAAGCAGTGCGATAAAAACAACAACACAGAGTTACATATGGGGTAAACAAAACATAAAGTCAAAAATACAACAGAAACTATATATAGAGTGTGTGCGAATGTAGTAAATTATGGAGGTAAGGCAATAAATAGGCCATAGTGCAAAATAGTTACAATTTCGTATTAACACTGGAATGATAGATGTGCAAAAGATGATGTGCAAATAGAGATACTGGGGTGCAAATTAGCAAAATAAATAACAATATGGGGATGAGGTAGTTGGATGGGCTAATTACAGATGGGCTGTGTACAGGTGCAGTGATCGGTAAGCTGCTCTGACAACTGATGCTTAAAGTTAGTGAGGGAGATAAGAGTCTCCAGTTTCAGAGATTTTTGCAGTTCGTTCCAGTCATTGGCAGCAGAGAACTGGAAGGAATGGCGGCCAAAGGAGCTGTTGGCTTTGTGGATGACCAGTGAGATATACCTGCTGGAGCACAGACTAGGGGTGGGTGTTGCTATGGTGCCCAGTGAGCTAAGATAAGACGGGGATTTGCCTAGCAGTGATTTATAGATGACCTGGAGCCAGTGGGTTTGGCGATGAATATGTAGTGAGGGCCAGCCAACAAGAGCGTACAGGTCACAATGGTGGGTAGTATATGGGGCTTTGGTGACAAAACGGATGGCACTGTGATAGACTACATCCAATTTGCTGAGTAGAGTGTTCGAGGCTATTTTGTAAATGACATCGCCGAAGTCAAGGATCGGTAGCATAGTCAGTTTTACGAGGACATGTTTGGCAGCATGAGTGAAGGAGGCTTTGTTGCGAAATAGGAAGCTGATTCTAGATCTAACTTTTGATTTGAGATGCTTAATGTGAGTCTGGAAGGAGAGTTTACAGTCCAACCAGACACCTAGGTATTTGTAGTTGTCCAAATAATCTAGGTGAGACCCGCCGAGAGTAGTGATTCTAGTCGAGTGGGCGGGTGCAAGCAGCGTTTGGGCGAAGAGCATGCATTTAGTTTTACTAGTGTTTAAGAGCAGTTGGAGGCTATGGAAGGATTGTTGTATGACGTTGAAGCTCGTTTGGAGGTTTGTTAACACAGTGTCCAATGAAGGGCCAGATGTATACAAAATGGTGTCGTCCGCATAGAGGTGGATCCGAGCGTCATCAGCAGTAAGAGCAACATCATTGATATACACAGAGAATAGAGTCGGCCTGA